GCTGGAGATTGATTTCACAATGCTACTTTTCCATGTTCAGGAGCAGTTAGAAATACAGAAACTGAAGGAGATACAAATACTACAAGAAGCATTAGTTTGTGGCATTTCCAGAAATTACCCATCTCCACTCAAAGCTTCTCAGACTAGCTATGAGAACACAATTTTTACAATATCCGTTCCACTAAACTAGTTGAAGAAGGGACCAATTTCTGTTGCCAGTGACCTCTGCAAGATTGCTGATGTAGAGTAACATCAAACTGGCTGGATCCCAATAGTGTGGGGCTGTTGCAGCAAGGGAGACACTCTGTTAAGATGGTACAGCTGGCATAATCTGGGGAAGAGGACAGAATTGCTCCATGGCATCTGAAAGGAAGCCAAGGAGGATTTCCAGCTGTGTGGAAAGATAGGCAGGGAGACAGGCAGTCTTTCTGTCTCCTCTACTGCCTTTGTGGTGAATTGAAATCCATATTGATAAACCCTGTCATTCAAAAATCATGACTTCAACAAAATAGGCTTTGTTTCAACTTGGTTTTTGGCCTCTCAGAGCATCTCTTGAGATTTCTTTCTCTAATGGGAAGTGATAGAGATACAGTGAATTTGAATACTCAATGGAAGTTGAAATACGTTACCCTCAGGAGTGGGTAACAGCAAGAAATTTTGAGAGACTTCTGAAGATAACTTCAGAGAGCTTCGCAACACCATACTCTCATGATCTTGCTTAAATATTACAACTAAATGCTTCCCTTAGTCCTCAAGGCAGAATCTATTCTGCTATTCACACTTGCACTGCTTTGAATCAAATGCAAAGTGAGCTACTACCCTTCAATTACCAGCACAGAAGTACTCCAGCAGGCATGTGGCTGTATCATGGATCACGATGAGGAACTCAACCTTTATGCTGGCCATAAACTTGAGGAGAAGTAGAGGAACATCAACATGCTGCAAGTTCTTCAGAAGTGTATTGGCAATAATGGGTGAAATTCAGCAAACGAATGCCAAATCTCGAGCTTTGTGTTCAAGTGATTTCTACCAGCTTTAAAACAGTAAGGGCAGGAGAAACAAGTATTAACAGTTTGGGTGTAAATCTAACATCAAACATATGACAGATCAGATCTTCCAAAATTCAGGAGTCCATTTCCAACAACAAAAATTAACTCAGAAATCTTGAAACTTCATAAAAAAATAGATGTTTTGCCCTATCCCTGGAGGCGCTAAGGCCAGGTTGGATGGGGCCCTGGGCAGCCTGATTTGGTACGTGGCAGCCCTGCCTATGGCACAAGTTTGGAACTGGATAGGCTTTGCAGTTGGGCTTTGAGGTCTCTTCCAACCTTAGCCATTCTTTCATTCTATGATCTAGAATTTGTATTAGTTGTCTCTTGACAAGATTTCAAGCTCTACTAAAAACATAGAGATTGAAAATTGCTCAAAATAAAACAAAAAGCGTCCCATCGACCTTTCTCAGGTTGCCATTTTGCAGAGGTTTAAACCACTGTGAAAAACTTCATGACACTGCAAAATTCAACAATACCAAGTATACAATTTAGAATGATGTGAAACTATGAACATTAGACACTAGATGGAGTACTTGGACTAGAATGAAATTGAGATATTTAAACAACTCTGGTAATGGAACTGCTGTAAGTATTTTGAAATCGGGGTTTTATTACAAATGCACAGCATATGACAGCCTGCTTCTATGAGAGAGATCAGGGATGTATGCTGCTGAATTCCTGCTTTGAAAACAGTCACCAGAAGGGTTCTCCCTTCAGCTGCTCTGCCGCTGCCTGGAAGCCTTCATACAAGGAATTAATGTGTTGGTTTTGCATATTACTGAGCTGAATGTGCCCCGTGAATGGCTTCAGATCCTGCAGAAAGGCAGTTGTGCTCATCCTATGTGTAAGGAAAGAGGTTACTCTCTCCATAAGATCCTTCTGTCCTCTAGTTCCCTTCCCTTCCCTTCCCTTCCCTTCCCTTCCCTTCCCTTCTCTTCCCTTCCCTTCCCTTCCCTTCCCTTCCCTTCCCTTCCCTTCCCTTCCCTTCCCTTCCCTTCCCTTCCCTTCCCTTCCCTTCCCTTCCCTTCCCTTCCCTTCCCTTCCCTTCCCTTCCCTTCCCTTCCCTTCCCTTCCCTTCCCTTCCCTTCCTTCCCTTCCCTTCCCTTCCCTTCCCTTCCCTTCCCTTCCCTTCCCTTCCCTTCCCTTCCCTTCCCTTCCCTTCCCTTCCCTTCCCTTCCCTTCCCTTCCCTTCCCTTCCTTTCCCTTCCCTTCCCTTCCCTTCCCTTCTTTGGAAGCCACTGATACTTCCCCTGACTTGTGCCCGCCCCATGGCTTGTTTCTTCATTCCCAACCTCAGCACATTCTCTCCATTTTGCAGGCACTACTGGTTGTGTAGTTGCTTGCTGAGCCCAGTTGGAGAACTGGTACAGCTCAATTCAGTGGGACGTGGAGACAGGACAAGGGGAAACGGATATAGGCTGCAGCATAGGAAGTTCCGCACGAATGTGTGCAAGAACTTCTTTATGGTGAGGGTGATGGAGCACTGGAACAGGCTGCCCAGGGAGGTTTTGGAGTCTCCTTCTCTGGAGATATTCCAGACCTGCCTGGATGCCTACCTGTGCAACCTGGTTTAGGGAACCTGCTTTGGCAGGGGGGTTGGTCTTGGTGATCTCTAGAGGTGCCTTCCAATCTCTACAATTCTGTGAATTACCTTGCCAAAAATAAAACATACAGTTTGAGGTAACCTGTGGAATATCTCACACAACCACGCTACCCCTGGGAGAAGGATGCTGAGTGGGGAAAAGAAGTAGGTAGTAACAGCTGCTGAAGAGAGACTCATATTATCACAACCTCTGCAAGAAGTTGGACCCATTTCCCTTGTGATACTACGCAGATACAGGGTATAATGCCCTGATGCACCAAGTGATGCAAAGTGAATGTAAAGCAGCACCTCAGTGTGTTTGGCCCACTCTTTGCACAGAGATGTGTTTTACGCTCTCTCCACCCCTGTGAGTGGCTATGCCGAAGGGGTGCCAGCCCCGTGTTACTGCACTGATCTCCATGGTGTGGTCGTGGTGAAAGGGCCCTGTGCCTGCTCTCTGTCAAAAGCTTTCCAGCTTGGAGTTATTTGAATTTCCATCTCCCGGCCAATCTGCCGCCCAGTGCCTCACTGCACAGAGGGGACAATGTGCAGTCTGTTTATGAAATGGGGCTTTGGAGGCCTAAAACAAATTGTCCTCAGGGCCCAGCACAGTGACAGCCATTCTCTGCCCGCAGACAGCCCCATGAGGACACTATCTCTCTAGAGCGGCAGTTGGTGGTGAATGAGCTTTTGACCTTTTCAACTTATTGTATTGGTATCTAGCCAAACAATTTAAGTTCATCTGTAGCGTGTGACACTTAGAAAACAGAGGAATGACATGCATGCTGTTTCCTACAAAGTAATAAACTGCCTTTTGTGGTGGAGTGAATGAGGCCTTTGCTGCTGATGGCCAGATGCCCCCCTGCACTGTGCAAGCACTGAGAGCAGCAAAGAAAACCTTAAAGTGCTTGAGAAGCTCAAGCTAGAGGGAGGTAGAGAAAAAAAATCTTTGCTCTTTCTTCCCTGTAGGTCACAAATAGATCCTTGCAGCATTTCTTCATGGATGAAATCCTGACCCCACTGCAGGGGGTTGATACTGATACTAGTGAGGCCATCATTTCACCCCATGTAGTCTGAGATCTACTTGAGCCTGAAAGCAGCGAAACAGCAATGTCAGTGTGGCTGCTGAGCACCGTGCGTCAGCTCCTCTGACTCCTCTGGGTTTACTCTTCAGGCCAAAATTTTCTCACAGGGTTAATTAGCGCTCTTCCTTGCAAGAGACAGAAACTGACCCAGACATGGTTGTGGCTGTCGTGGGAGCCAGAAGGAAGGTCAGCACTGATTAAAATCTGTTAAAAAGGTTTTTTAAAATATTTTTCTGAAAAATATGATCTTAGCTACTGATTGCTTTACTTTTATTATACTTTACTTGTCATGGTGACAGCAGAGGTTAGATGCCAAGTAGTCATAGTTGTTACAGCTATGGTTGCAAACAGTCCCTTTCTTCAGAGCTAGGAGGTGCTGCTGTTTGTAAGTGAAGGTCTTTGTCGAGACAGATTTTGACTTCCTGCGCTAAAGCAAATATTTTGTTTTTGTTGTGAGAGTATCAGATGCTGGAGCAGTTTGCTTGGAGAGGCTGTAAATTTTCTATCATCTGTGAAGATACTCAAAAACTAACTGAAAACAGTCCTGAGCAACCAGCTTTTGTGAAGTCTACTTGAGCAAATGCTTGGACTAGATTATTTCCATAGTTCCCATGCATTCTCATTGACTGCAATTCTTTGTTTTCGTGATTCTATGATCTTACAACAACCATGTTTTCATTTACTCAACCCTGGGCTACCTTTCTGGTGTAGATCCATATTTCCTATTGGATCTCTGCCCAAAATCTGCTCACAGACCTGGAAGCTGTGGAGGTGGCTTTGCAGACAACTCTGTTGGCTGGGCAGAAGCTTAGCTCACAGGACAACCCAATCCTCGCATTTATGACCGCCTTTAAAAACGTACATAAATACAACATTCACCTTCTGTTAAGAGGGACAAAATCTTTTCTTTTCCATGTTGATCCTGGGAACAACTTCTTGTTTACACAGGTGAGATTCCAATATATGCTTGCAGTACTAGAGTTACCATTTACAGTACAAATCCTATTTGCAACTTGGATTGCTTTTTTCTAAGGTTTATGTGGTAATGGTTTTTATACTGCTGCTCTGCACAAGGGTGAATCCTATATCCTTCTCAGTTTCCCTTTTCATTCCCTTTTCATTCCCTCCATTTTTAAAGCCTTCAGTCCAATGGCAATCAGAGTCAAGTCTCTGCTTTTGAGCTATTAGTACTACATGGCATAGGTAGTTCACTGATGCCTAGTCGTTCTGTTGTATTCCTTCCTTCAGACACTATGTGACCAAATTCTTTCTTTCTCGTAGGAAAAAGGCATAAATCTGACTCACATTGAATCTCGACCTTCTCGTCTCAATAAAGATGAGTATGAATTCTTCATTAACTTGGAAGGCAATAATGTCCCAGCGTTGGATAAGATCATCAGGTCCTTAAGAAATGATATTGGAGTAACAGTGCATGAGCTTTCACGGACAAAAAAGAAGGACACTGGTAAGGATTCGCTGGCAAAGGCAATATTGACATAGGAATATTCATGTCACACACTTAAATTACTTCCTTTTCCTCCAGCAGAAGTGTTAACCTTGGACCTGATGATTGTGTCTCCCTCTTTCTGTCTATTTTGTCTGTATTGTAAGCTTCTTCATACAGATTTTTTCAATATAGATTACCATGCTCTATTTTTGGCCAAGTTTTTTACTAGGTCTTGTAGGAACTGGTACTCTGTCTTCACTGGTTTTGTTGACGTCACATGCAGTCTCTTAAAGACAGCCTAATTGCAGTATTCATTAGTTTTGCTCATTTTCTGACTCTTTACAAATTCTTTATTCAATAGATGCTTCCTACAAAGTCCAGCAGCCTTTCAGATTATCCTTATTTAGAAAGGATCACTGGCAAATGGCAACATAACAAAACAAGAAGTGACAGCAAAGCACAGACTTCCACCTTGCTTTCCCCCTTGCTGAACATCTTTGGGATCTATGAATCACCCTGATATAAACCTTGTGATGTTGTGGAGGTGATAAGAGCCCAATTACATGCAAAACCTAGCATGAAATGGTAGCATACTCAGGGGGCTAGTGCACTCCTTTAAACACTGGGATTTACTTTTCAACATCAGCCTCATGAGCTCTGAAGCCCCTTCCACTATGTGGCTATTGCACCTCTGGGCAGACATGAGAGGAGGAGAGGAGAAGTTCCCAACAGTGGCAATCCCTCCTTCCCCTGCTCTCTTTCACCCAGGTATGTGTGTGTCAAACACTGTTTGCCTCTCCATTATTTGTGCTTGGGGACCCCCTCACTCCTGGTATTGAAATTAGGGAGGCTGTGCCACCCACTTCAGTGGGATCAGGAATAACTTTTCACTACTGGAAGAAGTCCTGGGAATGTCAGAAGTAATTCTGCGTTTGGAGGAAATAAGGAAAGATTTTCTGAGCTCTCACACTCCTAATTTTTTACTGGAATTGAGACTGCCTTGAACAGTTGTGGTGGCTGCCCCACATTCAGTTCACATTCACATAAATGCCTCTTCAGATAACAGATGTGGTTTTAATAGGATTTCAGACTTTAAATATTTTAGGTCTGGATCTTCCTCTTCCTTTCTAGGAACAGCATGAAAGGACATTAATACCTTCATGAGATCAGTCCTGGTAATCCCTTTACCATCTCCTTTGTGTCCTCCCCATGACATTACATTTGAAGATGAAAACAAAGTTGGCAGATATTCTTTGGAGTCAGTTCTCTCCATTCGTGAGATGGAGGGATAAAGGGTTGATTAGATGATTTATGGTCTGTCAAATAAAAGATGTTCTCTCTTCAGGACGTTTTTTATTTCCAGAAGAAAGATGCAGGACCTAACAGGTTTATACCATTACTTTTGTTTTTCTAATTGTTATTACGAAGGTGTTAAAATTATATGTAAACCTAGGCCAGAGTCAGATAGAGATGCAGCTCTAAATACCAGACAGGAAGTGTTTGTGACTGAAATTCTGACCTCACAGAAGTCAAAACGCCCATGGTCTGCTGGTCTGCTGTGGGATTAGATTTCTCTGCATGTTAATGTGTTGATCAAAGCATTTTTTGAGCTAGATTATTCTAGTGTGTGAGTGCTGCAGAAAGGAAATTGATCCCCTTCCTTCTGGGAGAATAACTTGTGTTTATTCTTTAGTTCTAATAACTGAGAAATAGTATAAACTGGGAGCAAATTACTGCAAAGGAAAGAGAGGAAGACTGATATTTCTTCTTGCCTTTTCCCTTTTTCTTTTCTTCTTCAAATTTCAACTTCTCTCATGAGTAGTGAGGATCCAGTGAAACTGAAAGCCACATTAGAAAGGTCAAAGAAGCAGTGCTTAGGGGTTGAACTGTGGGTGGCAAATTCTCTGCTGAGGCAGCTACAAGGGCAGACTGAAATGGAGTAACTGGGCTGTAGGAAGAGTGGTAAAATGTAGTCCTTTATTTCTGATGGCACTAACAATTAATAGGCCTTGGGGTGCCTTTTAGGTCAGACTGCCTTTCAAAAGTATGCATCCTCCTGGCAAATCTGGTCACAACCTGCAGATGTGCTTTTGTGAAATTTTATTCCCAGAGCACAGAATGAGAGTGATACACCTCCAGGGAGCAAAATCTCAAGCATATGGCTCATGGGGATATTGTCACACACTTTTCAGTTGAGAGGTAAAGCTGGCAATTTCTCCTAAGGCCCAATCCACAGTCCGTGAGATTGATTCACCATTGCTTACAGTTGCTCTCAGCCCTTTCTTTGTAAGGATTCACATTGCTCATGCTCATGATTTGAGCAGAAAAGCCCCTCTTTCACTCAGTTTCCCATAGGAAGCACATAGTGCCACTCTTAGGGCAGTGTTTTATGGAAAGTTGGAAAAAAATTACTGTCCTCTTTTCAATAGCTGAGCATTAAATACATGCATGTTTTATTAAACACATGCTCTATTGGACAAAGTATAAATGAAAGACAGTGTTTTTATTTTGATCTGTGATTATTATTATCTTTTTTTATCTGGACACTGTAAGTGTTTTTAGGGTCCTTACTCTCATAAAGGCAAAAGGCAGCTTTAGTTTCCCCTTTAACACCAACAAGTAACAAATACTGGGTTTGGATCAACAGTGTAATGTCATCTGAGAGCAAAATGACCAGCAAAATGCCATGAATGCAACAATAGTTTTCAAGCTCCAGATGAGATGGGAGAGCAGTCACTGGGCCAAACGGCCTTTGTAGAGATGGAAAAATTTGTTGTGAACAGCATTTCTCTTAATGGCTCTTTTTGGAAACAAGATGGGTATCTGCAGACCTCTTAGACCCTATGAATAAAAAGAATTAAATATTATTCTGTTGCTGCATTATGGAAATGCATACAATTTACTGCATTTCTGAGACAGTCTGGAGGCTGATGTTCTGTAGGAGCCTTTTTTGCTGAACCCTGAGGCTGGCCAAAGCATTTGGGGCTGTTTAAAAAAGGGCTAAACCTGGGCCTTGAACTGCTATAAATTGCACAGACCTGTCTTTGACCCTCTTCACAATGATCCAAATGGAAGAGTTCTGCAGAAGTCCTTGCTGTTCCTGCTTTGCTGCCCCTCATACAAATGGCTTATTAGCATTCTGCTAAGCATTTGACCCCATGGTAATTTGGTCACCACTTGGGTGTCCAGCACCATCCCATAAATGCCGCTGTTTCACTTACAGACAAATCAATATTTATTACTGATCAGCCCACGTTTGCTCCTTGGACCTTCACAGAGAGCCAGTGTTGCAACAGCTTGCTCTGGGTATTTGTTAATGGCTGTGCAGACAGACAGTGAGTCTGGCAACGGGGCTGGAGGAGGCTGTCGCAAACAGAATATGGGGCAGATTCATCAGGGGATAATTTGATTTGATAGTTGCTGGAGGGGCTGGGGATAGCATCCCAGCACACCACTGCCATGCAGAGGCCCTTCTGCACCCTGGAGCCTGTTGCTGGGGCTGTATGGATTAGGTGCTGTGGCTGCACCAGGGCTGTGTTCAGCACCTTTGATTACTGTTGCCACAAGTGCTTGAGAGGGTTCAGAACTTAACATCAGTTTATGCTGGTGCAAATAACCCAGAGCATCAACAGGATTCCTCTTCTAGAGCCTATTGGTTGAGCTTTCAACCAGAGCAGCTCACCTTGAGCAACTGTCAGTATATGGTGGGTGTGAGGGGAGTACAGAGAATAGGTCTGGTACCTACAGTGACTGTGCACGTAAAAGATAAGATGCTGCTCCTGCACAGGGGAAAAGTAAGCTACCTATCTACATGTCAGAGACTGTAATTGCATCAGCTTTGCACATCAGTCTGCCATACAATTTATCACAATCTCTGCACCATGTACTCAGGGAAAGCTGTGAATAAAATGTATTTAATGAATGCAAGTCATTATTATACACATTTTATCACTTCTTGAAGTTGGAATGATTCAAACCATGCTCACCTTAACCTTTCTGAAACAAGGCAGCAAATCCCTACAGATTTCCACTGCAGACCTCAGCCCCATTGGTCTTTCCACACAATCTGGTATCTTTCTGTTCATGGTGTGCCGCTGACAATGGTGATTCCTCGCTTAAATATTGACAAATCCTTTCCTGTAGGGCTGCCAGGCAGGTTTTTTTTTTTAACCTTTTTCTTTTTCTTTTTCTTTTTCCATTTCCTAATCCCAAAGCAATTGTCAGGATTGTGATAGCGGGGTTCAGCTCCCCTAACAGTGGGCAGCCAGAAGTATAAAACACTGTGGCAGTCTCCCACCCACACCATGCAAAAGGCAGTGGCAGAGCTGGGGGATAAATGCCATGCCCTGCTGGGTGTATAAAAAAAAAGGGGCAGGATGGCTGGGCAGACTCACCCCTAATACGGTAAAAGACAGTAGTGACTCCTCTCTAGGATTCAGTATAACTCCTGTTAGTCATCTCCTCCAGCTGGTTTAACTTAAGGGGCACCAAACAACGAGGTGAAAGCATTTCTGGGGAAACAAACCAGCGAGCAGTAAACCCAGCAGTGGCTCAGAGCAGATCTTCTGGGACTGCTGCTGCCATCTAGTGTCTCGTTCAGGCCTGTCTATTAGAAGAGTGCGCAGCTTGAAATGGGACTCGGCAGAAATGCTGGTTGGAGTCATGCTGCCCAGAGACAGAAGCTGCATGGACAGAGTCAAGATGGTTGTGGGACACCAGCTCAGAGGGTGTGAGAGATCTGCATGCAGCCAAGCCGTGGCCATCCAAAAAGTGACTTGTGTTGCTCTGGCCGCTCTGCGCTGGTGTCTCTCAGAAACCCAGCACCACAAAAGCAAGGCTGAATAGTCCTGGAGGCTGCGTAATCCTCTTATTCCTTTGGTGGTCTATCAGGAGCCAGGATGATCCCTGTCAGCAAGGCACTGCGGGAGCTCACATAGCAGCTGCCAACAAAATCCTCAGAGGCTCTGCCCCTACAGACAGAAAAAGCCTTCCCCCCCTCCCCAATGGGGGGCTTTTCCTGTGATCAGGTTAATTTGGCACAAAACCTGAAATCAGATGGGGAGGTGTGGCTGAGTGGCAGTGCTCCTAGCTGAGTGAAGCCACAGAGGGCAATGTTCTCGAGACTCTGTCTGAACAAGTGACCCTGTTCATACAAGAAAGTTGCAAAATACACAGCCAACATTTTACTGATAGAGCAGCAGCTGAGAGATCTTGAGCTTGGAATAGTAGACTTTGAAGTGATATTATCCTCAGTATCTGTCAATTTGACTTGTATGTGGAATGGAGAGCATATGGGACACGAGTACAGGGCCTGAGAATGGGGTGCATCATTACATGGACCTGTTGTCACTGATCCTCAAAAAAAGCAGAGTTGAACTGGAAGCAGTGCCCAGAAAAATGAGGAGAGGGAACAGGGATAGGCATATCACACATAATGAAATGACAGAGCTCAATGCATCAGAATGTATTAGAGATAAATTCGTACATGGATTGAAAGAACAGATACTTGTATTTGTGAAAAAAAGTTCCTCTGATGATTAAATTCAAGCATGTCTGTAGCCTCTGACTCAGGAAGGCCCTCCGTGGCCCACTGCTGAATACGGTGAGTTGCTGGGGAAGTACCAGAGTATGTTAAACCTGCCCTGATACTGCTCCCCTGAGCAGGTTTTACTTCCTTGAAAAAGACAGAGGTGGAAGTGCTAACAAAGGATACCATGGAAAAAAAGGTGCTATTTCAGTGGAAAAGGAAAAGGAAGGTATGGGAAAAGACAGATGGCTAGTGTCAAAATTCCTACCATGTAAGAATGGAGCAGCTGGAGGGAACTCTAAGCAAGTGGAAGCTGAAGCTACCACTAGTAGCTTCTAGTGGTACCTAGAGGAGTTACATAAGGATGCTCTGCCCAGTGTGCTGATGAGGCAAGGGAAAGGAACAGGGCCATAATCTCTGCACTGCTTTCATCAAACTTCCCCAACTCAGCACTGCAGTGGGGAGAGGAGGGGGCAGGCCCAGAAATGACTGACAAGGGTACCCGCATCTTAGTGTGCAGCCAAACCCTCCTAGAAGAGGTGGATGAGGGATCACAGCCTAGCACAGCCAGTGTGCATATGTGCCAGGACTCTTTCTGCAGAGGTGAACATAGCCATGGCTCCAAAGGTTTGATCTATTCTACGAGTCTTGCAGTGAGTCCCTCCTTGTAGCTCAATTGCTCTGAAGATATTTGCTTTCCACTTTCCCCTGTCTGAGCACACCACATCTGGAAAGTCCCATTGTTCTTCCTTGCTTTCCACCTTATGACCTTCTGTAAATGGAAGGCCACAGGGGCATTGCATGCCATGTAGTCAGTGTGGTCCCATTTCATATCCTGGCTGCACTGCAGGAAGCGTATATAGAATGTGAGTTACAAGGCAATGAAGAACCAGGCCCAGAATTTTAATTAAATGAATACATTATTGTATAATGAGTGCAGTAATACAATGCTAGTTTGAGGTATCAGAGTGCCATTTATCATTTTATTTTGGCATCCAAGCCTAAGTGAGGCCACCAAGTAAGTCTTAGAAAGAGATTTTCAGAAGGCATTCCTTTGAAACAGTTGATTTGAGCTACTGTGAAAGCAAGGGCAGTCTGGAAAAATTCCTATGTTTTGGTAAGCCAAGAAACCAGAATAATAAACAGAAAATCATAAACATCACAAGCTAGCTCTGTGCCAAGGGCTGGACTTTCCTGATGCTCTGTATTTTTCCCACAGTGCAGAACAACCACAAATTCAACACGATCTGCAGGGTTTTCTGTTGCCTTCTACTGCAGGAAAAGGAAGTGTGAAGACATTAGATCCTTACATGTGTTTCTTTATATTTATGTTTAAGAGATGGATAGACAAGAAGGAGGCCCAAAACCAACCAACAAAGAAGCCTAACAGCCTCTGTTTCTGTTCTGCTTCGCAGTGCCATGGTTCCCAAGAAGTATTCAGGAGCTGGACAGATTTGCCAATCAGATCCTAAGTTATGGAGCGGAGCTGGATGCTGACCATCCTGTGAGAAAAAGAACTTAGTTGTTGTGTTTTTTTTGTCCACATGTTTCTAGTTATTTGGATAGACGTTTCTCTCATTTGCATTTGCTCTGCTTTAAGACAAATACAGTAGACTAAGTTTCAAGGTTTAAAACAAGAGAGGCGCCATATTTCTAGAGCTAGAATCTGTTCATTCCCTGCTATGAAGTAGAGCAACCCTGAAGTTGCTTTAATTTAAGCATATACCAGCAGACCTGAAGAGTCACAGACTTCGTCAAGCTGAAGGCCACGACAGGCACACCTCTGGTTTTCCCATATGGCTCTGATACGCTGACTTGAGACTCAGTTTATGAATCACTAACAACAAAATCTTCAAAAGCAGTGTATAACAGCCTGGAGTTAGGAAGAGTGTTTTTACATTTTATACGACACACAATTGAGCTCAGAGCATTGTGATGTAGTTGTTAAATCTGTCACGATTCTTGTTTCATGAGACACAAAAAAAGAAAAGGTTCCTTTTTCAAAAGGTCATGGTTAAAGTGGTAAAGTTAGATAGTTTTACTCACTGGCTTAGCTGAACATTTTTTCAGCTTTTCCGAATAGAAGAATACTTGCTGCTTTTACTTCTTCTCCAAGCAAACAACTTATTTTCATTTGTCAATACAAACCGAGTCCTATGCAGTGCAAAAGAAATTGCTGCTATTAGTTTAATTGAGATAGGATGATTATAAATAAATTACATGCAGCGCAACAAAAATTGCTGCTATTAGTTTAATTGAGATGAGGTGATTAGTCATTCACTACCTATTGCTTAATTCGAGAGGTGTTATGTATCATATACAATGATTCATGATACTTGGTGCAGTCATATGAAAGGCAGAATGAAAGGAGATACATTGAGCCAATGGCCCCCTCATGTGTCATGTGGGAATAGACCAAGACTGTATTCAAAGAAAGAAACAAAAACATAGATGTTGAAAGGAATGAACAGCTTTGCTTCCTAGAATTATTTAGAGAGTACTTAATTCAGGTTGTGTTAAGAAAGAAGACAATTTCTAGGTAAATAGACATAGCAACATACAGAATACAGAAAGAGAGAAATTAAAAAAGCCTTTGATATTTTAGTACTTAAGTATGAGATTTTACCACAAATACATCTATACCATGTTAATCTGAGACAGTGTTTTTTATGCCACTGTTGGCCTTTATTTGACTGGTGCTCTTCAATCGATGCTCCACCTCGGCGGCATCCTGTACCTGGTTGTGTTTCATGGCCCCTCACTCCTTTCACGCCATGCATCTCTGAGGGAGGCATTCATGAACTCCGGCAGTGCCCATGAATTTACTGCTATTTGCCTCGTAGATATTTCTTCTATCTGAGAAGGACATCACTTTAGGTGATGAAAACACTCCTAGCCCTGAGGAACTTACATCCCATAAGTGTCACACTAGGATAGGAGAATGGTTATCCCAGTAGAAGATTTAGAAATTGTATTTAACTCTGATCAGACAGATGATTAGCTGCAAAGGTCAAACTGCTAACCACAAAGTCTAATAGACATTCTCTATAGTAATTAAATCCTGTACTTTTGGGGCTCCCTAGAAGCTCACTGCTCCTCAGACCAGCCATGCTCTCAGCAGAAGAAAAGCTCTTCACCACCTGCATTTACCCATCATTGCTGTTTCTCTTTAGGGATTCAAAGATCCTGTGTATCGGGCCCGGAGGAAGGAGTTTGCAGACATTGCTTACAACTACAGACAGTGAGTGCTCAATGTGCAGGCAGAAAGCAAACCCATGTCTCCTGCCTTCTATGGGGTTCTGTCCCTGCTGTGAGCCCTGTTTTCTTTCACGAGAGTCTTGCCTCTGCTGGCTTTTCTTTTTCGTATGTTTAAATCTTCCTGTCCATGCATTTATCCTCAAATTGCAGAAAAACATAAGTAAATTGTTGCAGGCACATGTTCAGCTGAGAACATTGCCTATCCTCTTTCCCCACAGCATCCCTTATCTCTGGCTTTGTTGTCTAATTGAACAGCAGACTTAGTTGCTACTACAAAGACCTGAGCATTGAATAAAGCTGTTTCTGGTATTCTCCTCATTAAACCAGGGCTGGGGGAGGAGAGCCTATCATTTACATTAAAGCAGGAGCTGCATACACTATTAAAATAATGAATAACTTATGGTTCTGATGCTAATCCAGCGCCTGATACTCTACTTTTATCTTGTCTGACCCAGCTGCAATCAGCAGCTTGGGCTCTAATTTCCCAAGAAAAGTGAATGAATAGAGATGATAAATTCAGTTAGAACAGGCTTGCTTGATTGCTTCCAGTGATCAAATCTGGAGGAGATAGAATTCTGTTCCCAGAGCCACTCACACATTTACATCAGTACTATTTGGTCTGATTCTTGCTGAGACTGGTAAAAAATTGTGATTGCGAATGATAAGGTAACATATGTTGTACATTTAGAGCGCTACTTCAGATAGAACTGTGATGAAAAGATAATTCCTGAGCCAAAAAGCTTATAATGCAATCATAAAATGAGAGAAATAATTGGCCTAATTGATGTATAGTGAAAAAAAGCCAGGTGGAAAAAGTCAGAAGTCCAATTTATGGCTAGAAAAATTGAATAAGGTTTTGTGGCCAAATTTAGATGGATTTAGTTTCCATTTGTAAGTATCCCATAGAAGATTTCTTTCTTTCTCAGTTAGCAGATAGCAAATTCTGGTCTCTAGTTTGCAGGCTTTCATCATATCCTATACAGAAATAAAATGAAAATGAGTTCGTATTTTACCCTCTGCCTCCTCTGCTATATTCAACCCGAAACCTGCTTAGGGAGATGAAACCGTTATATTCCAAGATGTAGCTAATTACTAGTTAGTCTGTTATCCAAATTCTCAGACACTTTGGAGCCTCTGCAGGCTAGAACAGATTTCCATAAAAGCACCTTTTATGTGCAATTCTTGGACTTTTAAATAAGATCTTTCAGCTATAGGACACTGTGAAAAACCTACATTTGGGGTTCTGGGTCTTGAAGAAAGATGTCGGTTTTTTGTGGCTTTGGATGCTGAGTCATGAAGGCCCAAATAGATAGTGTACTTGATCTGGCTGCTTCACCTGGCAGATGTCTTTCAAGGTCTGCAGCAGGACAGTAGAGGCCAAGGGGGTGTCCCCTGCATGGAGGGACAGGAGCATAGAGAAGCAGGCAGGAGGAGAGGAACAACCAAAGCTATGAGGCACTGTGGAAAGTATCTGAAAAGGCAAAGATGCTTAGCTTCTAATGTCAGTTACAAAGGTGAGGTGAGTTTTTGGTCAGTTTTCTCCTACTTTTATTTCCCTTATCACTTTAATCTTCTTATGTGCACACTCTTCTGTGATTATTTTGTTTTCTTTTGTCCTGCTGTTTTTTGTTGCATTTGCTGCTCTCTACCCATGTTCTTTTGCCTTCTTTCTTGGAACTTTTACCATTCATTTTCATTGAATTCCTCATCTCCCTGACTTGTTTCTGCTTTTCTCAGCCTGCCTTCTTCCTTCTGTCTTCCTTTGCTTCTGTCCCTGTGGATCCCTGCAAATTTTAAATTGAAATTTGAAAGATTTTTAAGCCGTATCTTCCCCCTGTTGCCCAGGAAGGTGTCTGAGAATTACTTAGAAGTTCTATAGAAACAAAAATCCCCCAGCAAGATTCATAATCCAACCTGATGTTTAAGGCTCCACAGATCAAGGAGGGCTGATACAGAGGTGCAGAAAATGAGTGCTCCAGCGCAGCTGCCCTGAGGCTCAAGAGAAAAATGAGAGAGTGGGATGGTGGCGTGTCGTCAAGAGTTAACAATGTGTCTCTGGGGCTTGGAAAGCTCCAGCATTACTCCAGCAGTGATGTTAACCCTATTAAGTTACTTAAAACCCTTTGATTTTTCAAAGCTGTTGGATTCACCTATGGCCCTATCATTATTGCTAAGAATTGACTATTCGCAGGAGGCCAAAACACATTGCTTGTGATTGTCTTAATACCTGCTATCTTCAACATGAGCTAAGTACATGGAGGCCTGAGGGTGGGATTTGACTCAAAATTATGTGTTACAATAAAAAAGTCAAACTACTTGAAGTCTGCACCTGTTGTAGCACAAAGCCCACCCCAGAGTTTCTTTGACCCTCACAAAGCAGAATTTTCTGGAGCTGATCATATCCCTCTTTCAACAAAGAGGGTTTGATTCCTAGTTGTGTGGACTAGAGCAAGAAATTCAACAGCTGTTCCATGCCTGGTAATGGAAAGACACTGAAATCATCAACCAGTTCATATTTTTAAAAGAATATTTCAGTAAGACAAATAAGCACTAATTTATTAGCATCACCGTAGTGCAAGAAATGTACTAAAGGCCTTTTTCTCACAGAATCACAGAATGGCCTGCACTGAAAAGGACCTCAAAGATCACCTAGTTTCAATCCCCCTGCTACGTGCAGGGTTGTCAACCACCAGACCAGGCTGCCCAGAGCCACATCCAGCCTGGCCTTGAATGCCTCCAGGGATGGGGCATCCACAGCCTCCATGGGCAACCTGTTCCAGTGCATCACCACCCTCTGAGCAAAAAACTTCCTCCTAATATCTAACCTAAGTTTCCTCTTTTTTAGTTTAAAACCATTTCCTCTTGTCCTATCACTATCCACCTTCATAAACATCAATTCCCTCTCCTGTTTATATGCTTCCTTCAAGTACTGGAAGGCCACAATGAGGTCTTCCCAGAGCCTTCTTGTCACTTAGCTAAACAAGATCTGCATTCTCATCTGAGTTCAGTGAGTTCTTCCCAGGCATTGCCTAGGAACAAGTGAAGCTTGCTTGGCACCTGCATGTCAGAGCAAAGGTGTCTTCCTTCCTGCAACTGTAGTCCTGGTCAGCCCATGGAAAGTTCCTGGGTGGGATGCTGGTGGAACTGGACAATTTCTCTGCCTCTCCCATTGAGTGCATCATTTTTTTTTCTTTTTTTCTTTTTTTTTTTTTTTTCAGTGGTCAACCTATTCCTCGAGTTACCTACACAGAAGAAGAAAAGAAAACTTGGGGCACTGTCTTCAGAGAGCTGAAGAATCTCTATCCAACTCATGCTTGTTATGAACACAACCATGTCTTCCCACTTCTGGAGAAGTACTGTGGCTACCGGGAGGATAACATTCCCCAGCTTGAAGATGTTTCAAAGTTTTTGCAGAGTATGTTTGAATCGTTAAAACAAAAACAGACAAATGAAAACACCTCATTAAAAAAAAAAAAAAAAAAAAAAAGAAGAAGAAAAAAAGAAGGAAGAAACAAAATGAAACAAACCTGCCAAACACAAATGTTTGTGCGGGTGATGCTTTCACAGAGACTTTCTGTTAGCACTTGGTCACATCATTTAGACTGTCTCATATCACTCTCTAAATGTTTCAGAAGTACAGTGTTTCGCATGCTCAGATGTTATGATGGTTGTACACATGGGCAGAAAATTCCCTGCTCTTTTGCAGTTAAATTCTGTTTAACATAGTTAGAGAGAAGAAAACAATTAAAAATGTTCTTTTACTGCAAGGTGTCCAGGTAAGGATAGATCAAGCATCCTAGCTGCTTTTGAAATGCCATTTTTTTGTCCCTTCAGCCTGCACTGGATTTCGCCTGCGTCCTGTTGCGGGCTTGCTCTCCTCTCGGGATTTCTTGGCTGGACTGGCATTCCGAGTATTTCACTCTACGCAATATATTCGCCATGCATCCAAACCTATGTACACACCAGAGCCGTAAGTATTTTGGCATAGAAAGTAAGTAAAATTGTAGGATGAGGACAAATGATAACAAATGCTTGACTTCAGAGCACTCCTGGGAACAGATCTAACAGAGAACAGCCAAGTGACCACTCTTGTGAAAACACTGAAGGTTTCTAGTCTTTTTAGTAAGTTGTATCCACTTCTGAAAGTTCTTCTGGGATTTATCAGACAGTTTTGCTAACTGAAGACATGCTAACATGGTGGCTGAAAGGTGAGAAAGCAGTGTACAAAAACATTTGGCTTACCTATTAACACCCAAAGCAGTAGTGTGAAATCTAATGCAGAAGTGGTTCAACATGGTGCAAGCAAGCTTTTGGTAGAAAGATAAATGAAGCCCATATCAGTGACTCCTTTTCTTTTAAAGTTTTATATTTTTTCTTTCTGTCACCATCCATTGTTCATTTCTACTTACTGTGTTCAAGTAAGTTCTCTTCTTCCTCTGCTTCATATTACTGCAGCTCTTCTGACCCTTCTTCTCTGTTTCTTTGCTCTCTACTTCTTCCCACAACCTCCCTTTCCTCCCCATTTTTCCGTTCCTTATTCTTCTAATTTTCCTCCCTGCTTCTCCTCACCCTATTGCCATCCTGCACAAAGCCACACTGAAATGTTTTGTTCTCATCTCTTCACAAAATGTCTAGGCAAACTCGGGCAAATGGTACACTGGAAAGCCTCACTGCCAACCCCTGTTGTTGTGCAGTTCTTATAAGTCTTGTGTTTTGTCTCTGGGAGGGTGCAATGAATTACATATTTCACATCTTAGTTGGTATCTTTCCCTCTGAGACCCTGGCCTCTGACATTCTCAATTCAATTCTTGTCTAGTTGGTCTGGTGGAGCCCAGTTTTCCTGGGCATGCATCTCCTTGAATGCCTTTTCTGTAAACACCTTGCACAGACCTTGGCCTCCTGGGAGTATTTCACTCCTTTTCACTTCTTCTCTCATCAAACCGCTTCTCTGTCTTTGAGGAATCTAGTAGTGTGTAGGTAAGTTCTTCCCCAAACATGCCAGCCACTTGTTCAAATCATGATGAAAACGGTTCCACTTGAGGAACTGAGCCATCTTTCAGTTGAGGGCTCTAGGCCTGAACAGTGACTGGGGCTGAGCTTCTGGGCTGCCTGTAGTACGAGCTTCATCTGAAGGTATTTCCTGCCCGTGAGACAGAATAGTGCATGTTCCCTTTGGTGAGGTGATTTCTTCCTTGGTTTTCCTGAGCTGAAGAATTGGACAGTTGGAAGCATTATTTCCTTCCACGAAAAAAAACAAATAACATCCTTCCTTTGACTGATGTATGATAAAACCACTGAAAAGAAACAGAAGTGCAAACCATCTCAATGCAGGAAAAATTTACTCCAAGATTCCTGAGCATTATTTGCTCATAGGAGTGCATTTCCTAAATTACATTTACCTACATGTCATATTTTCCTGCAGTGATATTTGCCATGAGCTACTAGGACATGTGCCTCTTTTTGCTGATCCCAGTTTTGCTCAGTTTTCCCAGGTAAGTTACTTACTATTTATACTATTTTTAAAACTGAACACATCACAGACTAAGTAATTAATAGGACACAAGAGCCATGAGGAATAGGATAGGATGGGCTGGCACGGTATGGCACGGCATGGCATGGGATGACATGGTGCATGATGGGATGACATGGAATGGGATGAAATAAGATGGGATGAGGGAGAATTCACCTTCAAGATTATTGTTAAAGTATGGATGAAGTCAGCTGAGTCTCCCTTTCAAAATAACAAATAGTGTTAATTATTTTCCTTGCCTTTTGGTCATTTGAATGTGAAGATTTCATTCATAATTGATAGGTACAGAAATTACAAATGTCCACAGGTAGTAGGTTCTAAAGAGTTGTGAAGAATCAAGCCAGAAGAGAGAGAACATTGCTATGTTCCTGGCTGAAACTGTATGAAAGTACAGCTGATGCCATGTAGGCTACGAATTATGACTTACTGAAATCTAGACACAAATCACATAGATGATCTTAAGTGCCCACACCCCAAATGTCTGTCTTGTGTGGTTTGCTTTTTACAGGCAAGACTTTTGGGAAAAATTCACGTAAAAACTTCTCTGTAGATGCTGATACTTCTGGGAAAAGTTGAATGGATCATTAATCATATGAGTTATCAATTCATTCTGTAGTCCAAACACTAGAGAAAGTGAAGATTTTTTTTTTTTTAAAGCCATGAAGGAAGCTATTGCAGAGATGTAAAGTGAGGAATTATCTTGCTTGTGAGTGTGGAAAAAGTCTGGAGAAAAGTTTTCTCTTTGGTAATGTTAACATGACTGGAAAAGAAGCCAAACCTCAGGGAAAAAGTAAACTTTTGGCTGCATCTTACCATAAAACAAGAAAAAACAGAAAGGCATAGACAGAAAGATAGAAAGAAGAAAAAAGAAATGCAAGGAAAGGAAGACAAAGAGAAAGACAGGAAGGACAGAAAGCATAGAGAATGGAAGGTCAAAAGGACAGAAAGATGGAGGCAAGGAACAACAACCTTGATGTAACATCTCACTCATAGAACAGAAGTTGATTTGATGTAGTTAATTTGATGTAGTTCAATTTTACTCTCAGGAAAGGCCTTTGCCAGAATTTCCTTCAAGATAAGTCCTACTGCCCTTCAGCTTACTAGAATTTACCATGGCAGTAGTTGTTCCAATGCTTTTGGTGTGTGGAAGCCTGAGAGGTGGATGATTAATTCTTGATGTCCAATTCACCCTGGAGTAAACTGAGAAAGATATCTGGTTATTATGCAGTTTTACATGGTTGTCTTCTGAATTCAGATATTGCATTCTTCCTAGGAAAGTTTCCATTAGCTCCCAAGGTATAAGCTAGCTTTTTCAAATCATGCCCTAATTTTTGGAAAAAAAAAGAAACAACAAAAAAAAAAACCCCAACCAAACAAACACACCTCTCTTTCAAGGCTGCAAGAAAGCTCTTATAGTAAGGACTCACTGAAGAAGAGATAAATATTAGAGGTGTATGGATGTGATTGATTTATCTCTCTTTGACTATCATTCTCTTTGGTGTGCATTATAGGCTTGATGAAAATTTTGTTTGACCTCAGTGGGTTTTGAAGCAGACTTAAAGAGTTGTGCCTCATAAATGACACTTAGATGGGACTCTTTTGTTCATTTCTGGAGAGATTTCTGCTTTAAAATTGATGCTGCATGATATGAACAAATCCTGTAAACATTTGTGTGTGGTAGTATGAGATGGTAACATTTAAAATGGGAAAAATTACATAAGACAAGACAGGAAGAATGTTTGCAATAAATGACTTGAAGAATAATGGTTTATTGTTGCAGGAAATTGGCCTGGCATCTCTGGGAGCTCCAGATGATTTCATCGAGAAACTTGCTACGGTAATTTAATAAATGAGAGCTCAGTTCTCCAAGGCACCCTGTGTTGTTTTAATTCTGCTGCCACTGAGGTCACTGATAGAACTCCCATAGAGTTGAATGAGAACTGAGTGAAGTCCATGATTGGAAAACCTCACCCTGAAACACTAAAGGTTTTAGTTGCACTTTAGTTGCACTAAAGGAAAATAATTTTGGCACCTCTTATTCCAAGTGACAGTTTTGATTAAAAACAGAGGGTTGGTCAAGTCTTTCATCATTACAAACATTGGGCAAGAAGAGATTGAGTGTTACTACACGCCCCTGGGAAAATTTGGTAGAGAGCTTCAGTAAAACTCTTCTATCTGCCGGGGTCTCTTTTCTTCTACCCTGCCAAGCAGATAATGTCCTCTGCAGTCAGTGATCCATCTGAATCATGCGCTGGGAGAACTGTGACCCCACATCAGGATATGAATATGAGATTAGTGTCACCAGTGCCAAATCATCTGGGCAGAGTGCTGCATTATCTTTGCTGTTTTTGATAGATGAAGGAGGTTTTATTTGAGCAAGAGTGAGTGTCCCTTCAAATATATAGTGACAGAGCAAAAAGTTGAGTGGAGCCATGCAGTAGGATCTACTATTGCTATAACAGCTCATTTCTTCTGTGATGCTGTAGCCAGACACCCTCTGAGTAAAACAGGAAACATATTTCTATCATCAAAGGTTCAAACTTCAGCTGGGTTGGCCAGCCAAAATGAAATTTTATTGCTATGTTTTCATTGTCTCTGCTCTGCTGACAACTGTAAGCACAGTAAAGCACAACACTGTTTGTCAGGGAACTGAATTTGCAGACACACTGAATCTAGCGTGGCCCTCTCAGAAGAATTTCAATCTGTGAAAACATTTCCTGTATTTATACATTTGTTGTTTGACATACGGCAACATTTCAAATAGAAATGCAAATTCTAAACGCATTCAAATTAATGATGTGTACCTGTCATTTCTGGTCAAGAATCATATCCTGTATAATTTTCTTGCTAGGTTTATTGGTTTACTGTGGAGTTTGGACTATGTAAGGAAGGTGATTCACTAAAGGCATATGGTGCTGGGCTGCTGTCTTCATTTGGGGAGCTGCAGGTATGTTCTTTAAAACAATATTTCAATCATGATATATGGTTCATGCCTGGGTTTTTAAAATTACTCGAATATATCTTCTGGCTGTCTTTAGATCCTTATTTTGCTTCATACTTCATAGTACATAATGTTATATTTTGTTGAAGTGTTCTATATAATAACGTGTCAGTGTATTTACATGGAAATGCCTCATAGTTGCTTCTTCCCTATTAAGTTACCATATGATTGGTATTCCACAGCAGCAGGTTTTTCCTCTGTAAAACCGGGGGGGGGGGGGGGGTATTTAGGAGCTGTATCTTTCTTTCATAAAAAATTAAAGCATTATTTAACTGAAACAGATTTCTTACCCTTTTGCTTATAGTACTGTTTATCAAGTAAGCCTGAGATTCGGCCTCTCGTTCTGGAGAACACTTCTGTGCAGAATTACACTGTTACTGAGTTCCAGCCTGTCTATTTTGTTGCTGAAAGTTTTAATGATGCTAAGGAAAAGCTAAGGTAAGCTAATCATTCCGTATATAACTCAATTCTTTATCCAGGGCAAATACAACAGATCTCATTGTTGTAACAGGTATTGGTATGACGGAAATGTTTTGAGAAAAAGTTGTGCAATGCTCTAGGAGTCTAAGCAGTTGTTACACTCAAAATCTTCTCACAGGTAGAAAAGCCATAGGTATATGAAGTCAAGAACTTCATGGTTGCTCTAATTAAGAGCTTCACCTGTTTAACCAAAATACATTTAAAAAACAAAAAACAAAAAACTAAAAACAAGAACCCAGATTAGCAGTCCAATTGAAATAATAATAACACCAGGGGTCAAAGCTAGCAAATTAAGGCAAAACAAGTTTATTTAACAATAATATAGTTAAACTTTGTTATTACATTTTTTTTTCTTGTGTCTTTTCCCTTTTCTTTTCAACTTATGTTCACTCTTACACTTTCTTTTGTGTCTTAAAGTCAACAGTTTTAGTCAGGGGGTAGGGGGTGGAGCTCTCAAGTTATCAGCAGCTCCTGAGGTTCTCAGAGCAAGATTGTGATGCTAATATACAGTATTTCTTCCTCTCTTTCCTGAGGAGGATAAATATGTTTACATTTCCTTTCTTCCTCCTTAGCCCAAGGTCTGTTCAGGGTCTTTTCTAATATGCTTTACATCTTTTTTGTTTTGTTTACATCTTTTTTCTCATCTCAAATTGTATCTGTGAGTTTTTTGTTTGTCTGTTTTTTGTTTTCCCTCAGTTCCTAGGTTACTATGAACACCTAATCAGTGGGAACTTCTGATAGCCTAGGGACCACAGCATCATCTACCTTACCACATGCTACCCTAGCCTGTTCCATTCCCATCCCATCCCATCCCATCCCATCCCATCCTAACTCTTCCCATTCTATCCCATCTTATCCTCATGCCCTTAGGCCTCATTTATCAGCCCTCTAATAGATCTTTATATTACATCATACTTTAGGGTCTGACTTAATTCACCTTGTACAGCATAACTACTTGATATTCCTGCCTATACAAAAGTTATTAACACTAAGCATTATAAAGCAGAATTTTTCAGAATTGAGCAAAACTGTGATAAATTGGGTAGTAGATACATGGTCATTAGACAACTGATATTACAACTAAATGAAACTAGCAGCAAGCCTAATAACACCAATCCTGAGGCCTCTGTTGTTAGCTTAATACAGAGCCTCCAGCTTGTTGCGAACAGTGTGTTTACAAGCCTACAGGGCTACTTAATAAATCTTTGAGTCATCTGTGACTCAAATACAAATTCAGTTCCAGCACAAGACTTTGAAACAAAAGTCCAGTTTCAGTTCTGGTTCTTGAAACAGAACTGGCTCAGACTGCACTTAGGGTTCAGCTTGGGTTCCACCTCACAGAACTATTTCTATTTTTCTGTAATAACATTATCAACAAAAACATTCCTTCTGGACATTAGCCAAGCATCTGGGGATTAATCTTGTTCACGCTCAATAAATCTTTCACAGCAGATGCTATACAGGGACTTGTCCCAGATCTGCCGTCTCTATTTTTCTTTCTCTCTTCCACTTTCTCCCATTTGCAGATTAACACATACCAAGACATTCACCTGCCCCAGGCTCCCTGGTGCTATGTCTTCCTTGCTACTTCCCCTACTGTTTCCTCAGTCATCATTAACCTGTAGCCTCTACTCCTGCCTTTTTCTGTGGAGCAATACTTGAAAAAGATAATTTTCTTCTCTGGATTATGCTATTAACATCCTGCATACAGTTTCTATCTTCACTGTGTGAAGATAGATTCTCCAGGTGAGGAAAAGTCTTACTCTAAAGAGAAAAAGATGTTGCCTTACTCTATAGAAAACTCCTTACTTTATAGGTTTTATTGCTTCTTTCACTTGTTTCAAAAATAGAATTGGAAAACTGGTTAAATAGAGGTGAAGATGTTGTTTCAGTGCCTGTGTTGGTGGGTTACAGGTGTGTGTGTGTAATAGAACACCTCTCTGAAAAATTATGAGGTTGACCTGAAATATCTCACCTAGAGGTATTCATCTTCTAAAATGGATCTTACTTGCAGCAGATATTTAAGAAGACCATCTTCTAAATAGAACCTTCTCAGTTAGTAAAGCTGAACTGACAATACTAAATTCTTTCATTGTAGTCAGTGTAATCGTTTTCTATTGTCACACCTTGTAGCCTGCTCACACTGAACTCTATTGGAAACAATGGCCTTCTCGGATAATAATTAGGGCTAAACTGAGGAGCAATGTAGAAGTGGCATCCAACATATTTCACTGTTCTGGGAACATGGGATTAACCATGCTGAGTCACAGCCTATACAGTGAGGCTTCAAAATCAACTCTTGTTTGCTTTCTTTCCTCCTTCAGCAATAACTTCAGTAATCTGAAGCAGATATATAAACCAGTATCCTGCTGGGTCCTGCAAAGAGCCTGGAACAATAGCTCTGACCATCTTTTCCCACTCAGCTCTCCCTTCTACAATTCTGTGGTAATGCAAATTAGTGTTATCCCAAGATACTTAAATCTTAATGTTTCTGCCATGGAATTAACTATTTTGCAGCAGAGAAGGCTGAGAATAAGGGTGGCAAAGGCTTCACTTCACTGACTCTTATTTTTCAGTGACCTGGGAACCACTACCAACCATGCCAGAAGTTTGCCTGTTCCCTGATATTGCAGGAGGCATAATATGATAATATTTGACTTTGCTTTCCAGAAATTGTAGACGCGGATCAGGATTTTGCATTACTGAAAGGAAAATGAGATCTTGCTGTTTGGCAAATACTGATAGCTATGTAGCTGTCCTGTGTCAGAAGTGTAGAATAATTAGATTTGTCTGGAAAAACTAGAGGTGGTAAGGACAAATAAAGATTCAAGTGTGTTACAGAACACCATCATCTCACTCAGCAGGAATTTCAGTTCCTTCCTCCCATCATCAGCAAATGTACATGCCAACTGAGAAGAGTTGCTGAAAAATGGAACTTTTCACATTTGCATGTGTTTTTGTATTTTTGCCTCAGGAAATTTGCCCAAACAATCCCTCGTCCTTTCTCTGTTCGGTACAATCCCTACACCCAGAGGATCGAAGTCTTGGACAACGCAAAGCAACTGAAGAACTTAGCTGACACTATCAACAGTAAGGAACTATGGCTCTGTTAGCCTGAATACCTCTAAGCTCAAATCAGAAATAATAACCACAAAACAGATTTTGTCCTTGCCTTTTATGCTCTGAGCTTGACCATGATCAAGCATCAGATATCTTTTATTGCACAAAAATTCCTTTCTAATTATAGACAAGCTTCAAAATAGCATTTCTAGTTGACCATAGTTAGTTACATCTGAAATATCCATTTTAACTGGAGGTGCTAGGAAAACTCAGAGGCCCTGTAATGGTTTCTGATCTGTGTCGCCAGGTGTTTTTATTGAAGAAGAGCATATTCCTTTTTTGTTTCTAGTTTTCTCACGATATATTTTTTTCCTAACATTGGCTACCCTGCCAAGAATCAGCATTCCTGATCCTACAAGCCAACCTTGTATGACTAATGAAAGTGAAGGGCTGTCTCTGAAAACTGTTGTTTTTTTCTTTTTTTTTCCTCAGGGAATGAATATAACTATAAATATAAATATATACTGTATATAATATATTATATACTGTTATATAAGTATATGTTATATAGAGTATACATTATATACTGTTATATAATATATATAAAAGTTAGAAATGAGCTAGCTGTAGGACTAATTAGTCTGATTATTTTCTTTACAGGTGAGATGGGGATCCTCTGCAATGCCCTCCAGAAGATCAAATGAAGATTTTCTGTAACTCTTGCAAATCACTGGCTACATAGAAGAAGTCGTGCAAAAATGCCAGTCTTCACTTAGCTTCAGTTTATTATCTTACTGTGTACTGCATGCCTATATCATATATCTCAATTATCATTATTATTATTATTATTATTTTGGCCTTCAGACACTAATCCATTTTTTTCTCATTAAAGCCTAACAATAATCTTAGTACTGGGAATCTAGGGAAACTCTCCACATATATCGTAACAAAATTATCAGAAGGGAGAGATCTCCACCATGCAGTGCTACGGCCTGTTACAAACATGGGGTTGTGTTACCACACTTGGTCCAGTGACAGAATAATAATGACCAACACAGAGTAATCCGTCTTTTATTCTTTTTTCCTCTCAGACATTCTCCCATCACTTCCTCACATTTGTGCATGTTTCCATGAAATGCTGAACTCTATATGCTTCAGAAGTCTGCATACTGCCTGGCCCTGTAAACCATGACTTCGCTTGGTGAAACTGTACCTCTTTTTTTACACATGAACGCCTCTGTCCTGAAATAATACTTTTTTTTTTTTCTTCAGAATTTGATGTTGCCATTGATTAAAAGCACAGATGCTAGTGGAAAAGACAGCAAGTATGCTGCAGCTTCAATAACAGAAATTTATCACAAAAATATGCAAAATATGCAAAAATACACTGTATTTGCACAAGCACTAATCCCAAAATGGTTTCTTCAGACCAAGAACATGGTGTGCTGTGTTGTGTCAATGGTTTGCAGAGTGGAGTTTGTCAGAAAGGCACTGACATTGCCTATCTAAAACATGGAGTCCATGCCTCAGTACTGTACTCACAAAGAAGTCTTTTCAGCGAAGAATTACCTAAAGACACATCTGTGTGGCTTTTTGTAGTTGGATGTTAGATCACTAAGCCATTACTATAGGCAAGCAAGACAAAATGTAAAGATTTTAGCGGTGCATCAATGTATTATTAGCTCAGATTCAGAGCTGTAACAACTCTGCTATAATATTCTGTAACATGGATTCAGAATTGATTCAGCATGCTTAAAAAGAGGATAGTTCTTTTGATACTCACTGTGGAAGGCTGAGGTATGAAGGCGACGTTCTTCATCCTCTGAGGGTGAGTGCTTTAATCAGACCTGCAGCAAGGTTTCTCCTAACGTTTTGGATTCATAATCAGGTGGATATCAGTACTCATCCTCAATGTCGGTATCTTCCTCCACCAGGAGGAGAAGTGATGCTTACAAAACAGATGAAAATATTGGAGCCTTCCAACTCCTAACTTCTTGTATCTGTGTCTAGAATCCCAACCAAAACCAGCATTTTAAGTACTGGAAGGGACCTCTGGAGATCATCTAAGTCCAACGCCCTGCTAAAGCATATTCCATACAGTTGGTTCCATAGGAAAGCATCCAGGCAGGTTTTTAATATCTCCAGAGAAGGAGACTCCAAAACCTCTCTGGGCAGCTTTTTCCAGTACATATAACTGAAAAGAAATTCTTTGTCATGCTTATATGGACCTTCCTATGTTCCAGTTTGTGCCCATTGCCCCTTGTTCTGTTATTGGCACTGCTGAAAATATCCTGCCACATTCACTTGATATTTATTGGCACTGATTTCCCCTTGGTCAGTCCATGCTGACTGCTTCTAATAAACTTCTATTTGCTTAGAGATCCAGAATAAACTGCTCCATTACTTTCTGGGGGATGCAGGTGAGGATGACTGGCCTGTAGTGTCCTGAGTTCATCTTCTTATCCTTTTTGGAGACTGGAGTTATATTGACTTTCCACCATTTTTCAGGCACCTCTCTTCCATGATCTTTCATGATAGAAATAGGTTTTGCAATCAAATGCTGTCAGCTCTGTCAGCTCCCTCAACACTTGATGATGCATCCCATAAGGGCCCATGGATCTGTGTGTGTCATTTGCCTAAAAGATCTCTGATCAGATCCTCCTCAACCAAAAGGAAGTCTTCCTCTCCCCAGACTATCTTCAGAACCTGGAATTCCTCAGAGGAATTCCTAACAGTAAAGACTGAAGCAAAAAAGATGTTCAATAACTCCACCTACTTAGTGCCCTTTGTTTTCAAAGCACCCACCTCATTCAGCAGAAGGCCTACATTTTCACTAGCCTCCCTTTTTTCATCTGCCATTCTTAAAGAAATCTTTTTTGTTGCCATTGACCTCCCTCACCAGATTTAATTCCAAGTAGGACTTAGTCTTCCTTGCGTCATTCTTGCATGCCTGAAAATGTTCCTATATTCTTTTTTCCACAAGCTCTTAGACAATCCATGTCTCCTGCCATCTTTGCCTGATTTCTTGCTCTTAAGGATGGATTGATTTGAGCTATGGGAGACAGAGGTTAGCTCTGTCCAAGTCTGAATGCTTTCAAACTCACACATGCTATCTTTCAAGACAGCTCCTAAATCATTAAGCTTTTTAGATTTTCCTTCTTTCCCCTGCTTGTACTTTAATCTTCCTCTTTTGTTAAAGCACTTTTTTTCCCTGCCTGGAGTATAGATTGTCAAGCAGCAAATGGAAGTGGGGGTATTTCCAGCTTAATCCAATGGATGAGTCACAGAGAGATAAGAATTTTGCTGTTCAGAAAACTATTTCTGTACTTTATCAGTAACTTTCACTCAAGGTAGCGAAATGCTCTCTTGGACCAGTCAACATTGCATAATCCCTCTCCATAGCTCTTTAATTGAAAGAGTGAGATCAACATTTGTAAATTGAACATTTGGAACTGAGTGGAGCAAACCAATCCAGAATATTTCCAGCTTGAAAGTATATTGCATTATGATACTAAGATGATTAAAGAGTTATATTTCAGTTAGAAGATCCAAACATGGACGGGACTTTGAAAGTCCTTAAGTCCCATACCTACTATTGTGCTACTCTTGTATTTTTAGTTTGAAAATCAATGGAGCTTCCATGTAAGCATCATCCTCTCGGAAGACAGAAAGTACAACTGTTTCCATTATATTTACAGTGAGTAATAACACTGAATAAAAGATATAATCTGGAATCTTTTCTGTAGAATTATACTTATGCAAAATTGTATCATTTTGGTGCTTTGAGGTAAGACTTTTTAGCTCTATATATTTTTTTTTCTTTTTTTTCTCATGACAATATCTGTTTAGTTCTTTCAGTCTTGGTTGGCATGTATTTTCAGGGTCAAAGTAACCTACATTTTAATATCTTAATAAAATGGAATCCCTAATGTAACTCTTTTTCAGAAAAAGACAATTTCATGTGAGGGATGAAATCTTTCAGACTAACCCTCAGACTGCTTTCCAAACTCCTCTGCTTTTGATCTCTGTTATGTGTGACAGCAGTAATAAATCTACAGTGATACTGAGAACCCAGGAGTCGTGGTTATCTTTTATGTGCTAGAATAGTTTAAGGACACTGATGCCATAATTGTGGTTCTGTGTCCTTTAACGCAAGTGCAAATGAACAATAACTTCAACCAAATCTGCTCACCAAGACTTAGAGATGAGAAGAAGTTAAGTGCTCAATATTTTAGAAGTAGTAAAACTATACTGAAAATAGATTTTCCTTGCAGAAAAATATTGGCTTTAATGTGACTTAAATAGTACAAAATAAATTGCATTTGAAAGTGTATTCTTACTGAAACACTTTTTAATTCCACGCATTTTGTTTTACTTGGAAATTGTAGCTTTTCCACACATGTTGATCAGAATTAAATATCCAGGTAAGAAGGAAAGACCATTTGATGTGAGCTCTAATGGAAAAAAAAAAAAAAAAGGCTATCTTGAGGTGTTGAGTATCACTCATTCTAACAAGACTATGGAACTTTATGGGAAACTGAGATAAAAAAAGAAAATTCTCTTGATGTATGTAATCATCTAGAAATACGCAGTAACACACTGATTACTTTACCTTTGCATACTCTGTATCTCTTTGTATGCTTCTCTAATTAACCTATCCCTAGACCACCTTGTAAGTGGAGGCACTTGCTTCTATCTCAACATGCCCATCTTCAAGCCTTGCTTCAAGTGACCAAAGAAGTCCTCCCATGAGGTCCTCTGCCTTTTCAGTGACTTTAACCAAGATCACTGATAGTGGTGGAAGAAGGAGTGATCAACACATGTTGCACATGGGCATGTGGTCTCCTCTGGGCTTCTTAAGATGCTGGCAGACAGTACCATTTCAGTAGAACTGCTTTATTCCTCAAAGGATGTCAAAATTCTTGGAAGAGTGCACAAGAGTGCATTCTTTTAAAGCCTGTATCTCTACTCCTTCATACTAAGCTGACAATTGGCAAAGAAGACTTTTAATGTTAAAATTTAGCCATTTAAATTAATCTAAGTAAAATAAATATTAGCTCTACATCTCTTTATATGGATAGCACTGAGTTCATACATGGTGGAGAAATTCACAGTGGGAAAAGATGAAAAATGGGCAGGTTATCTGTGGTGATCAGTCATGGCTTCCACCCAGGATCTGCACAAAAGAGTAACACACTATTTCTTGAGTAGGAAAAACCAAGTTTCTATAAGAAGTAGCTGTCTGTTCCTATAGGAAGTGATAACACACTGTGCTTCTTTCCTCACATAGAACTGTAGCCTCCAGCCTAAAACCTGTAATTCTATACTCCTAGAAGTCCTAAAAAGTGCTGAAAACAAAATTCTAGGAGTGGGATGTGATGTGTAGAAATCAAACTCTATAACCACAGAGTAGTCAAAATGCAGGTATGTCTAATCAGCACTGTGTACATGCCAGATGCAAAGGGGGTATTCCCACCTAGCTTGCATACCGGAGGGCAAGAAAAATATATACTTTAAAAAACAAGCTGCTTACGTATGCATTAGATGTTCAAGAAAATTATCACTCAAAAAAAATTACTCATTATTACAATGAGTACCCAGAATGATTGACATCCCCCCCTACCCCAAGTCTCAGTTCTTTTACACATGCTATCTCTCGGTTTTTGTTTGATGGTCTTTTTGATGAAGGTCTGGGTCAGGTTGGAGGACACTTGGCTGGCTCTGGTTTGTCATCTCATCAGCTACAACTCTGTTCACCAATCCACTGCTTCTTTGTTAATCTGTGGTTTACCATCCTACTCTTCTGTCTCTCATTCCAGAGATGGGAAAGCTAGCAATGTTATTTAGAAAAACAGGCACTAATTGTCTAGGTCTGTAGAAAAGCATCTGTTACTGGCAGTGAGAAACCAGCTTAGCAAGCTCAAATCTGTATCTGTCGATTCAGCACCTCACGAAGGTGAACTTTTAACATAACTTACTTTCCTTAATTCAGATGTCCTACCAAAGCAGACTTAATGTGTGGCATTATGTGTGGCATAGTTATGACATAATGTGTGGTTCCTTTCAGGGCCTGCCCCAAACATGATTCTAGGTGGCTCTAAAGTGTTCTAGCTGGGAAAGGACATGCTACCACCTAGAGAGTTATGCCACTCTGTATTGGATCTTCCACGGCTGCAAAGCTGCACTGCAAGCTTTTGTCTGTGCTGATTTAACGGGTAGCTCACGACTCCAGTCTGGCTAAATTGAGAAATCTCAATCTGTATGCAAGAACATTCTGCTTTGTGTTGTACAAGCATGTAGAGATGGGAATCTATCTGACGCAAGATTGTAGAGACACTCATAAGAGTCTGCTGCTTCTCTCTCCTAGTATTTATGACCAGTGCCTTCAACATGCATCTCAGGCCCTCAAGATTTAATCTACAGTGCAAGGACTCAAAAGAGAATAGGCTGGAGTATGATATCTCATGTCATCTATTATTTGAGACATGCCTGTGACTAGGATGTGAAGATGTATGCATCCATTCAACTTGGAGAAGCCTAGCATGGGTTCAGGCAGTCAGACTCATCTTGGCTTATTCATCTGCACCCAGCCTTGCCATCACTGCTATGGGAACATGACAGTGGAGAGAACATGAGAGTGGGAGGAGGCTCTCCTCCCCAGAGCCTACTCCCTGCCCCTATCTCCTCTGTTCAATCCATTTTACAGGCAGAGTTAAGGCTGGTGCCTTCTTGGGCTTTATACGGGCCGCTATGTCCCTTGAGACATGACTTTGGACAGGGATGGGGTGTTCAGTGCCGGGAGCCCTGGGCAGACTACGGAGAGAATACCCGAGCCCAGCGACCGGTCGGATTCAGCACCTCGGACAGCGACTAGCCCGGCTCTGCCCGCGGGCCGGGCGCTGCCGCGGGGACGGAGCTTCGCAGTCCGCTGCTTACCCTTCTGCTGAGCCCGGACTGTACTACGTAAGGATAAACCAATGTGCTTCAGGGGCAATGAGATTTACCTTCAACAGCTGAGGCAGTAGAGAACTTTCCAGTGCTGTTTTGGGCCATTTGAGAAATGCAGAGTGGTTATGATATCTGCGGGGTAAAAATCTAGTTGCAGCATGTCTATACGCTCTGTCCAAAGATAAATTAATCACTAGGGTGTGAGATCCAGCCAGGATCAGATAAGGGAAACATCAGAAATGGCTGCATCTGCAAAAGAAGGACAGAACTTGGAATCCAAAAGACAGAGGCTTTTGGATTCCACGATGACTTTCATAGGGGTTCAGTATGGTGTAACTTGGGATGGGAATACACAGGTGCTCAGACCCAGAAACATATTTACAGACTTCAAGGGATGTCATGCTATGCAGGAGCAGAACTGAAATCCCCTTGTGCTTGTCCTACCAGCAGTAAGAAGGAAGTTACCTTGGGTTTTTAAAGAGTTTATATTACTGCAAGAAAAATCCTAACAGAAATAAGTTACAACACAGAAGCTGCCTAGAGGCTGCACTCAGTCTTCACAGGGGTAGAGCAGAACAGGTCAGAGATTGTAAACAGGAAAAGCTCGAAGGTAGGCAGTGACCTTTTACTGGCTCAGATCTCTCTGCCTGTCCCACAGTTGCATCAGTTTCAAGGAGACATCACTTGGATTTGGCTAGGAAGTGAGAGAAGAGACTATTGATTCTCTGGGAGGATGATAGTCCAAACTGAAAGATGTAAATGGTACTCAAGCTAATTGCCTATCCACAAAGGAGCCCATTTCTAGGGGGAATGGCTTGCAGGCACCTTCAAACAGAGTGGGTGGGCCCCACTTTGAAGTTACCCAGAAGAGGGGGGTTACCTTGGGTTCTTGCGCATAACCTACGTAGGTGGTTTCCCTTGATGTGTCTGTCATGGTCAACATAAGTGACCCTATATCTAACCCACCATCCACACAGACCCACTGTATCTCCAGTTCCATCAGAATTCCTGGCCATTACTTTGGGAGAAGCACTCACATCCTCAGTCCAATTTCCATTGGACATCTCACAGCTGTAATCCACTCCCTTGGCTCCCAATGAAGATTTTTTTCTGAGTGACCTCAGGCCAAACGCAAGAGTCCAGTGAGGAGAAGATGTGTAGTGCAGAGTCCCTAAACAGGCGAGGTAGTCTTGACTCCAGCAAGACGGATGACAGAGCCACTCTCATACTGAACTTCACCCTCTGCACTGTAAAGAAGACTGAGCTCTCTAAGGCAGCTAGAGTCTTTGAGGTACAGACTGCACTTTTCACCTGTTGTTCCCTACCTCCACAGACCCACTTCTACTGTTTCTATTGCCTTCACCTCTCCCATTCTGCATCTCCATCTCTCTCGCCTTCTTTTCTCTCTGCCTGCCTGTGCTCTCCACCTGCTTTGCTCCTTCCTTCTTGCTCCTGTTGTGCTACAGATGCTCAGAGAGCATGAATGATTTTTCTAGGTAAAGAAGGAAAATTTTCTGAATGGAAGAAGCAATTAGATAGTTATTTAGAAGAATCACAGTTCTACACAAGAGCATATACCGGTCTGTTTCTTCTTTCTATCAGTTGTGGTGGTCAACTATGACAGAAAAACAGGGCAACATTTGAAGTACTTAAATGTAGGGATGTTAGGAGCCAATGATTTTTTTTTTTTTTTTTTCCATATTTGGCAGGAAAGACAGAAAATACAAGAGCTGTAAATCACAGAGGCATTATGTATTCTAAGAGCATGAACTATCCTTACAAAGTGCTCACTCTTGTCTGAGAAAATGAATAACCCAAAATTAAAGCATTGTATTTGTTACTTATTTCTAATTATTTGCAGTTATTTAATGATTATGGTGCAATTACACATCAATAGATCTGCTTCCATTCTGCTGGCTCTTGAGAGTTCCACTCATTTGTTATTTCTGCACAGATGAAATACTGCAATCAACAATATCTCATCTTTCATCTCCGTCTCCTTCTACCTAATTCTACAGTGTTTACTCTAGCTCTGCCTGAATCTTCCTTCTAAGCTGGGCATTAGTACACTTCATTGCTTAACATGTACTTCTTGCTAAGATCTTTTTTCATCACCTTTTAAAGACATTGCAGAACTGTCTCTAGACTTGGCTTTTCATATTTTTGGAAAAGCTTCATCATATTAACATCTAGCTCTTGCAGATGTTTGAAACTGAGATCCATCACTTTGAAACCAGGAGAATCAAAAAGCTCAAGAACTCTGCTGATCATCTTGATATTTTTGTTGAATGTGAAGTTCACAGAGCTGATATTAGTCACCTTATCACATCCTTAAAGAGAGTAACAGAGGATGTGAAAACTGGCAATGAAGACAAAAGTAAGAACCATATGCATATGCTAATGCTGTTTTATTTGTATTTGGGGTAGTTTTTTTTTTGTTGGCAGTTCTTTTTCTGAGGCTGTTAATTACCTTTAGCTCAATGATAATAACTTCATTAGACTGGAAAGCAGGTGAGCATGCACTTTTTTTTTAAACATGTGTGACTCATTTCGCTGGGATCATTCTGGCTGTTGTGAAAACGAGGGCATTTTGGCATTGTCAAATGCTGAATTTGACAATGGAACAGAGGTGAGAACAGTGTTCCAAAAAGAGGGAAATGAAAAGGAAAGAGTGGCAAAATAAGAAGCTCAGGAGAAACTGGAAGCACTTCAATGACAGGAAAACTGTGGACTGAGAAATGAGAGCTTGGAATAGAACTGACTGCAGACACTTGCTGGGAATGCAGTAATGTGGCAGAGAGTCTGAATGTTTCTTTTGCTTGTAGTGTATGGTGTTGATTTTGCTAAAAATGAGCTGTAGATGTCTGTTTATTGTGCCCAGGCTGCTGCCATTTGGCTCCAGAAGGACTCTCTTGAGTTAGATTGCAATTCCACTGAAAAGAGCTAAATGCTACCTGCTGGAAAAAGCTTCCAGAGCGTAAGAGGAAGAGAGGATCAGCAGAAAGCCTTGAGGTAGTGGTCTCACTGGTAGAAGCAGGTGATGAGCTTCTTGTAAAATGCTGCAAGTGGCTACTCTGCTAACAGCCAGTTGAATTACCATAGCAAGATGGAAAAGTGTATCTGTCAGCGATAAACTGCTCTTTGTCCTGTTTACAGGCAGATAAGGAATGAATGAGTACAGGAAACTATTAGAAATTGGGAATGTCAGAAATGCCCCTACTAGATGAGAGAGATAGATTGACTCATGGTTCCCTGAATATGAAATTGCTTTCAGGCTTCCAATACTTGCCAACACCAGGCAGCAATCCTCAGGGACCTTTTAGCTAATCCAGTTCTGTTTGGACACCTTTGGGTGTTTCATGATATTCACCTTCAGGCTAGTGATAAGAGACAGTCCAAGCTGTCTTCAGGGACTGCAGGGGTTTCAAAAGGATATTGCTGTCATCAGGGCAAGTGGAGAGCCAAGTTGGCTTTGGAACTGAAGGAGTGTCTCTTTAGGATTTCCTTGGTAGCTGAGAGATTTGTGCTCAGAAGAAATTCTTCATTTTAGATTTGCTGGAACTAGGATCTGTGCTTAGCATAGTCTGTTAAAAGACTGAGAAAAAAAAAAAAAGAGTTGATGTAAGACATCTGTCGGACTTGTATTTCTTCCTTCTTATTGCAGCATTGCCTATTATTGCATGAAAGAACTGAAATTTCCTAAATTAATGTGCTTTTCTAGCTTTACACTTCAGTGCTTGGGTGTAATTTAATAGGGCTAAAGCTGAGTTTGTCATTCAGTACATAGATACCTGATCTCCTCTTATCAAGTATCAGATTCAGGTGACTCCTAAAGGTCCTTTTCTCAGCTACAGTGACAGAGTGTGGCTTCAGCATCAGTCTGATCTCAGAAAGCAACATTAACTTTGTATTTCTTCTGTGGTTTTAAACTTAGTTAATTATAAATGCTGGGATTTAAATTAAAATTAGTACTGTATAAATATTCTTTTAATCACCTGAGAAGTTCCTCACTTCAAGGGAAGGAAACTGTTGGAAATTCAGCTAATGCTTTATTTATTTTCCTGGCGGAAAAAGAAAAAAGAAAAAAAAGAAATAAAGAAAAAAAGAGATAGAAAGAAAAAAAAAAGTAATATTCTTGGCCTGTTTTGTTTTGAGAAATTAAATTGCTGATCTCACTTTTAACAGTATGAAAATTTAAGAATACTGTTTAGACAAGATCAAAATATTTTTGAAATCCAAAATGTAGAACAAAATTTGTTGTACTGTTCCAAAAAGAACATCCCATTTGATGTAAGATGAAATATTTTTTACTTTAAAGATTTGTAATCATCCACATAACTTCTGCTTTTTATGTCTTTCTTATGTTACTTGATCCTATTTAATTTAATTCTTACTTCTTTCTCTACAGTGCCCTGGTTCCCCAGAAAAATTCAAGATCTAGACAAATGTCACCATCTGATCACCACGTATGAACCCAGTTTTGACCATGGTCACCCTGTAAGTTTGATGTCACAGTTTGTTTTCCAAAAGGGAACGTTCTTTAGGGAATATTTTCGTTTGTTTGTTTGTTATTTGTTTGTTTGTTTGTTGGGGAGAATTTCAGTAATAAGAGAACACTCTGGAAAAAAAGCAAAGAAGAGACAGAAAAAGGCTGATATTCAGTGAAGTTAGGGATTGCAGAATGAATAAATTAACAAGAGAAGCTTATCGGCCTTGATTCACCAAAGTAAACATGATTGTCATCATTTCAATTTTAGTCTTTAGCTTGTGTTTTCATTTCATTGTTTAATTAAAATAAAAATCTCTATTTTATTATTTTACCCCTATTTTCTTTGAAGTATACCCACTTTCTACCATTTGGTCCACCTAGACTTCAGGCTTCTCAGTCTTCCACATTTTGTATTTCCCATGATTTTATTTTTCAAACACTTAATGTCTGCATTTCTAAATTTGTATATGCCATAAATCTCAGTCAAGTGCAGATGTACAGTGGACAATAATGAAGAAGCAAAGAGCTAGTTGCTAAGAAATACCATATTGTCAGATTCCACAGAGAGAAGTATGATGCCTGAACTTGAATACATTGTTTAGACAACAAATAAATCAGATACACGGCAGCACAGATTCATGGACATAATACTGGAACTAATGTTTAAATGTGATTGAAGAATCTCAAAATATCTAGTGATTTCAACTGAAATAATCAGGTAAAATTTAAATTGGAAGCGAGTTTCAAAGACTATAATTCTTATTCACATTCATCTTTTCCCAAGGTTTCTGGAGCCAGAGTTTTGACAGTATTTACTGATAATTTTCTGTCAGCAAAATATTGTTACAATGATTGTTATGGACTTTCCTTTGGATTCAGGCATTAGGTATTCATTATGAGTGTGCCACAAACAGGGTTTTACTTGTAACAGATTTGTGTATGTACTCAGACCTGTAACATCTGCATGGTGCCAGGCTCTGCTTCGCGTGGTTCAGTGCTTGAGGTTAGAGGGGTGAGAGTGGGAGCTGTGATGGCTGAAGGCAGATTCCAGAATTTGCTTTTTTTTTTTAATCCTAGTTTTGTGGTGGTTTATTTTTCTTCTCACAAGATAAGGACTCTATAGGATTTCTTGCTGTTTTAAAACTTTCAAAGTGTTTTTTACAATGGTGATTTCCATTTTGTTCTGGGGACTTTCTCACCATACCAAAATCTGTGGAGGAATGGTTCAGGCTCTCAGCATGCCCCTTGGTAGCCCTGTTCAGCAGGAAGGTGGGATAACTGAAAACTAGGCAGATTCAATGATGATTTTTCATGAAAGAAATAGGAGAAGGAATTCTGTAGACACCTCCCTGCTGCTTACTTTGCCACGTGAGCAGGAACAGGAGCTTATCAGAACTTCAATTTAAGCATCTCTTTTGAAAAGGACAAAGGAAAATGTAGGAGTAGGACTTGATGATCCTTATAAGCCCCTTCCAACTTGGAATGCTCTGTGACTCTTTGATTCTAATATCTAGAAAATATAGATTAGGAGGAGAAAAAATGCAGTGCAGACTCCTACTGATGCTAATTCTAAGACAAAGTACTGGGGGAAAAAAAAGGTTTCCAGATACAGCATAGTGAGATATGAATTCTGAACAGATGAATAAGTGAGCTATGAATTCTGTACAGATGAATAAGGGAATCTGAAGGGCCATTTCCTGACTGTACATCTCTGTGTGGAAAAAAATATAAAAATAATTCAGGTCTATATTCTATTTCTGATAGTGATTTATTAAACTAAAAATCTCTAGGAGATCTTCAGATAAACCTCCACCAGGATATCAGCATGGAGTTGGATTCAAGTTGATCCACGTGCATCCCATCCAACTCAGGATATTCTATGACTCTCTCTTTCATTCTTCCTTGCATCTTTCTGATAGAAACATTCCAAGTGTTTGCCTATGTTTTTCCTGAGCTGACTCTGAGGTGTTTTTTTCTCATGAGATTAACAAATACATATTGGGAAGTATTTGAATAAGACTAAGTTCCTCTTCAATTTGCTAAATAGAAGGTGTGAGTACTGAGTAGAGTGAAAGAAAGCATTAGCAGTGTAGAGTTACTGAAGTACTGAGTGGAAATAAATTGACGCTGCAGAATGCAGTGCAATGTAGAAATGCCTAAACTTGAAGCAAGTTAGTTCAAGCACTGGAAACCATTTTCTGTTGCACGAAGGAGCACAAATCAGCCTCTCTTTACTATGCTGTTGAGCATGGTTCAATGTGGGCATGCTAGTGGAAAGTATCAAAACATGATAATGTATACAGCTGGCTCAGAAATTTTGTGTACACATTTACTACCGAATAGGTACACTGATTAGGAACTGTTGTGCTTCCTTGGGGAGATCCCTGCTGCAGGGACGAAGATGAAAGGTCCTAACACCAAGAAGAACCTGGTCCAATGGCTTTACGATGTGTTTTACATGGGCACATTACACCTACTGATAAGCAAAGGTGGCTTTTGGGATCCTGTTCTTCCCTTAGATTTATGCACACAATACTCATTAACTGTAGTATTACTGCTATTATTGCTACACTGAAAATTATGTGAATGAACCTAAGGGAGAAAATTGGCTTGTAGAAGGCAAAATGGTTCCAGAAAGTTCTGAATATTTGAGAATAATAAATATTTGTACAGTGATGCTGATCAACAGTGCTTTATGAGTTATATTAGTAACATTGCACCAGATTTCAAATATTATTCCTGTTATGGATGATGTAAAATTCAAGGGAACTTGATTCCACAAGTTTTTTTTCTTATTAAGAGCTGGAAAACTCTGCTTGAAGCTAGACTTCTAGTAAATACTGAGGAGGAAAAAATGAAAATGTCCATATTTAATATGTAAACTGCCCTTTTGAAACAACACCTCTGAATGTGTCTTTATTATAACATGGCAATAAATGAGCATGAGGAGATTCAGCTGAATGCACTTTTTTAAATGTATTAAGTGGTTGTTCCAATGATTTCTAGACAGTGAAGACTCCTTCTTTTCTCATTGTTCAGGTGCATTGTGCTTTCTCTGGTAAGACGATATCAGACTTGGTACTGTTATGTTCATCACTCTCCAGTGCAGCAGCTTTTGTGCTTAGCAAAGAAGTGCAATGACTCGGAGATTCAATTCCTTTCCAGCAGAAGAGATAAGCCACCTCTAATTCAATTATATTTTAGCATGATTTTCATTGAAATTTGACTGTAAGTTTAATTGTCTGTGAGGTAGCATTTACGAACAACTCCAAAACATTTGCATCAAGACATGTTACTTTCTTCTCTGCCACAAAGCCCAGGGTTTGAGCAGAATGTCATGGATGTAACTAAGAGCAGATTTTGGCTTGCCTTGTTCAAAAGGATCACGATTCATTGCCTTAGAGACAACAACTTAAAAGAAACCTAGTTGTTTTGAATGCTTCTGCCAGAGAATTTATTCATGCTCTGAAACATCTCTTCATGTAAAGTGTTTTTTTTTGTTTGTTTGTTTGTTTGTTTTTTTTAATTATGTTCTAACTCAGGGATACACTGACCTGGAGTACAGGAAGAGGAGGGCATACTTTGCTGACCTTGCCTATAATTACAGAGTGTAAGTATAAGGCTGCTGAAAAGACGCTTCTCTTTCACTGTGTACTTTCAGACATCGTCATGCGGAGGAAACACCAGAGACTAAATATTTTGTCAATGTATCTATGAGGCTATTTAATAGAAAACAGAATCTAGAAACAGAACGTTTACCTTCATACAAAATAAACATTTCTCACAACACAGCAAATACATACTAAGATAAAGTCATGAGGTTGAATTTACATCTCACTGAGTGTCTTATCAGAGGTAATTCCTCCATATGGGTCTTTCTATCTTTTTCAAGAAACTATGAGGAACAATGTTTATGAAATTCCTTGGCAAGATTTTAGAATGTATTTTTGACAAAGAAAAGAAAATTTACTATTTTTATTATTTATTTGTCAAAAGTCTATGCCCACGCAGATTAAAATTCCCAACTAAATTTTTCCTAATTGGAACAATGCTATCAAGACTACAGTCTTTTCTAATAGGAAGACAGAAAAGCCTAAAAAAATCTTGTGTCTCATGTGTATGAATTAAAGTGTTACTGTCTTTCTGCATAAAACTTCATTAGAATCACATTGCTGTCTGGAGGAGATAACTATGTGGTTAGAACAGGTTGTGGAAGTCCAAGAAATGGTAAAATTTCCCAAGTTAGAATTCTATCTGACAATAGTTTTCTCAGTGCCACTATATGCTATAGATAGTCCATCATGAAACATCACAAAAGCATATAATAAAATGACTCAGAGCTATTGGAGTGTGGAAGACAAGACTGTCTATATGAGAAATCATTGTGTGCCTGGGCATCTCTGTGCTGATGAGTTTGGTGATGATATTGTGATGATCATGTCCTCCAGAGACAGATCATGCAGACACACAGTATATGATGGTTGCTAGATTGCAATCAGCAGAGGAAAAGTTAAGTTGGAATGCCTCTTTCTTCTTCTGTCAAGCAGAACACGACTCTCTTTCTTAACACATCCCTCTGTTTTCTCCCCAGATTTAACAGTGGAGAAAATTCACATAAGAATCTACCTAGACAAATAAGTGATTAATTATATCCTATTTGCTATTTCTACATTAATTACAGCAAACATTCATTGTGCAGGCAAAGAAAGAAATTCTTGAAGTTGAATTTGAATCTTGCTTTAGAAGCATGCATTACTTCCTCTCTTCTTTACAGTGGGGACCCTTTGCCTTACATCGAATACACAGAGCAGGAGACTGCAACTTGGTGAGTTTGTCACATACACTCTGACTCCTGCACCATTCCACAACAGTACTAGGAAGGAGTGGCAGTGTGAGGCAGTAATTTGAAACCATCTTTAGCCACTTCAGATCTTACTCTATAGTGAAGTATTTTCTTTTGGCCATTTGTTTTACAGAAAGCCATTCTCAGAGCTAAAACTGACTATTCACTTTCTAGAGCAAAATGCATTTTCCTGATCATTTCCCTGCTAGACCATTACATCAAGATATCAGAAGCCACAAACCACCTGGAGCCTATAGTAGAATATCTAAAACGTGGGAAAGGTGTCACATGCACAAAATAATCTTTGTTCAATTTGCTGTTTAAATGGAAAGATAGCCCAAAGGTGGGGAAAAAGAAGAATGCTGGGGAACTGAAAAAGTGGAAGTTTAAGTCATTTGCTCAAATTATATAGGAATTTTATATCCATGTCAGGTATTAAATACATATATTAAATGTCTCATTCCAGGACCTCAACCAAAGGGCCTTTCCATCTTTCTTCAGTAATTATTTTATTTTAAATAAGATCTACCATGCCACAGAAAGCTAGAATCACATAGAATAGAGAACTTGAATCCAACTCAGCCAGGCAGTCATATTATTATTAAGCTCTAATAGGTTTTCATAAAATCTTTCAATTGTCATGTTGGCCAGTGTCATGTATGTTCATAACTGCTACCACTAGCACCACTAGCCAGCAATCTTGGCATGGTATATTGTGTGTGAAACTCATATTTAAGAAAATTTAATTTTGTATTCTTTCCTTTTTTTTTTTTTTTTTTTTTTTTTTTTTTCCCCCAAACTCTGTCATTCCAGTTCTCCACCTGGAATTAGTCCCAGTGTGGTAACAGAATTGACCTTTACAGCAGTATCTGCCTATTTCCTCAAAAAGCAAGCCCCAACAATCTAGGTTGTCTTGTCTTGTGAAACCGTTTCCAAAATTAGACCTCCCAATGGTTATCACAGCTCCCCAGAGCTGTGACCTGACATCAGGTAACAAGGGAACAACAAAATGTAATTGAGAACAGTGCAATCAAACGGGAAATTTGTAGCACAGACTGAATTCTTCTGAAGAGAATTTTCTCTGAAGAGTTGCTGAATGCCTTCAGTTTGTAGCAACATGGTTATAAAAATGAAAACTAATCAAGTGCAGAAATATGACTTTCAGGGAAAAAAAATAAAAAAGGGTGAAGATGAGCTGTTTCTGTTTTTAAGCGGCACGCTGTGAAAGGCCCTGAAACTGAGTAATCACATAAGGCTTCTTGTGGGCAAATATATGAAGGTATGACAAGAAAAAGGGAAAATCTAGGACAAAATTACGGGGGTATACCTGTGACATCATCATAAAAAAAACTGAATAGTACCACTTTTTATCCAAATCAATAAGGAAATATATGTAAAACGTCTTTCTCTTCCCATCTCTGTACCAGACCTTCAGGTATCAGCATAATGGCCCTTTGTGGAGACAAGTGATGCAGAAAACAATGTGATTATTTTAGAAATAAAAAGGATGGAGTACCGTAATTTTTTAATTCTACGTCAGTTTTCTGAAAGATGATCCATGATTGAGGGTCCTTTACAATCAAACTAGCACCTCCATGTGATGAGGCATCACATCTACTTGAGATGCTATTCTAGGGCAAGCTAAACTGCCCTCTGGAGATGTCTGCTACTCTCTTTCGACTTTTGAGGGAACTTAGATGATTTCCTCCGTGGACTTAGAGGGAATGGATGCTTGACTTAGGACAATTCATCACTGCTTTCTCAGTCTCTCTGTGTTTCTGTGGTAGTCAATGTTTGGACAAACACTAGAGTGATATTTTGATAAAAGGGACCATATGTGCAGCAGTGTAAACAGTTCTGCTCTCTCTAAACTCCAGTCCAGCATGGAACTGTGTGCTAGTTCAGATCCTATGCAACCCCACTGAAGTCAGAAGTTGTCTGGGGGGAATAAGCTATGGCAACTTTTGAACTCTAGTTATTCTCATTTTTTCTTCCACGGAAATGGCCCAGTCTCCTGCAGCTTTTGCAATAGTGATAGCAGCCACTGTTTCCCTCTGTTCTTTTATTTTTATTCCTCCTAAGTTTTGAGATTTGTGTTGTATTTTTTTGTTTGTTTGTTTGTTTTGTTTTGTTTCATTTTCTCCTTCCCTCTTCATTCTGATTCATTACTCTCATACTGTGTAAGATATCCATATAAATGGACAGGGACATTACAGAGACTGGCTATCGCCTCCATAGCAACAGTAGCATCACACACACACAAAAACAGCAATACAAAAACAACAAATGAACATTTTCCATAGCCAGTATTTCCAAGAATGATCTCAATTTTCATAAAACAAGATTTGTAGAAATTGATAACACCCTAGGGCTATGTCTGAGCAAAAATAATCATTTCTATAAGTTTTTGTTTGTTTGTTTGTTTGTTTGTTTGTTTTTGCCACTACTGTTTTAATACTACTGGTTGTTTTTTTTTTTTACTGTTTTTTTACTACTTGATAGTTTTGTACTACTTTTTAGATTGCCACCTATGCTTGAGGGTTATGCTTTAGGTATTTAATCAATGAGGTGGGACACTCTACACAGCTCTTGCTTTCCAGGAGAGAAGTCTACAGGAAGCTGAGAAGCCTCTACCCTACTCATGCCTGCACACAATACCTGGATGCTTTCCAACAGCTGGAGAAACACTGTGGCTACCAAGAAGACAACATACCTCAACTTCAGGATGTGTCCAGATTTTTAAAAGGCCAGTCATTTTGAACCACGACTTGTTCTATGGTTTCCTGGATATTTGGTGGTAGCTGGAAAGCTGCATGGAGGAGAAGGATGTAGGGTGTAAAGTAACTGCCAGCTGAACATGAGCCAGCAGTGTATGCAGGGGGCCAAAAAAGCCAATGGCATTCTGGCTCGTGTCAGAAATAGTGTAGTCAACAGGGTGAGGGAGATGATCATCCCTCCGTACTCAGCACTGGTGAGGACACACCTTAAGTATTATGTTCATTTTGGGTCCCTCGTGGCAAGAAAAACATGGAGGCCCTGAACTATGTCCAGAGAAAGGAAAAGAGGAAAAGGAACTGTATAGAGTCTGGAGCACAAGGATATGAGGAGCAGCTGAGGTTGTTCAGTCTAGAGAAGAGGAGGCTCAGGGGAGACCTTATTACTCTCTACAAAGACTTGAAAGAAGCTTGTGGCGAGGTGGGAATCAGGCTCTTCTTCCGGGTAACAACGATGGAACAAGAGGGAATAGCCTTAAGTTGCATCAGAGGAGGTTCCGGTTGGATATCAGGTACAGTTTCTTCTCATAAAGTGTGGTGCTGCACTGGCACAGGCAGCCCAGGGAGGTGGTAGAGTCACTGAATCTGGAGGTTTCCAAGAAAAGTGTGAATGTGGCATATTAGGGACACAGTTAGCAGGCATGGTGCTGATGGGTTGATGGTTGGACTTGATGATCTTAGAAGAGAGCCTGCAGTACTATTATTAAGCCAGAGGATGAATACATTCTCTTGTCCATTGAGATGTGTCACTCAGCTGATTCACCATTGCTATCAAAAATGAACTAAAGAAAGGTTGTCTTTGAAACCTCCTTGTTCATCCTCAGTGACAAGCAGATGTGCCAGAGAGTGTAGGACAGCTGCTCACTATGTCAAAACAGATAAATAAAAACATTGCCTTAACTTTACATAAATTCCATTTAATCTAGTACTCAAGGAATAAAGCGACCTGTTCCATGCATCAGTAGATGAAGATAGTAAACTTAGTTAAGCTTTCTGTGCCTGAATATGTTTCCAAGACACTGCCAATTTTAGTAAAGTTAAATTACTTAATGATAAATACATTATTGCACTTTTAGTGTAAGAGAGTGGAGGACTGGCTTATATATATGAATTGCGTCTCTCATGAACATGCCGGCACCATCACAACCAGCCGTAGGAATTTTCATGTGTATTATGTATTCTCTTCTGTATTTTCTCACTTATTTTTTCTCTATTCAGCTATCTGTTTCTTCCCTAGGCTTACAGATATTTTTCTCATGAAGTAGTTTATCTCATCTTGTTTGATTTGCACAGTAGTTGACAGCAGAGAGCTACAGAAATCACGGATATTCAATACTCTGTAACTGAATCAGCTGACTACAAAGTGAGAGAGTTTAGGACAACATAATATCCTGTCATGCACTATTTCTCTTGCTCATGTTGTTGACAGGATTTGATTGCATGGAGTCTGGACCTGTTCAGTTATTTTGCAGGCTCTCATTCTAAAATTTCTCCATGCTTTGCAAAACAACAACAACAAAACAACAACAACAACAACAACAATAAAAACAGTAAAAATGGTCAATCTAATAATTCTTCTAGTAAAATTTGAGATAATATTCAAAGGGAGTATAAGCTTAACTACTTCAAAAAGAGCATGGTTAGTGTAAGCTAACTGTCCAAATTATTTAACTGACTGAGAATGAGAACCGGAATGTCAGAATCATTTTATTCCATCCTGGCATGGGTGTTGAAGGAAAATTGAAAGAATGGCTCTCTGGAGTGCTGGTCCTACTTTCCTTAAAATGTAGATAAAATCTACTGTTCAGCCTTAAGACGTTATGAATTATTAAGCAGAGACAGAACAGAGTTGGTGGAATGTATTATGTTTACAGATAGACACTTAAAAGTCAGTAAGATATTTTGGATGCTTGGAGACTTTGAATTGATATTCTTTATTTTTAATGACTAGTATGATTGTTTCACTATGCAGAAAATTTTTAGGATTGCATTAAAATTGACATTACTGCAAGTTTTCTTTGCAAAAAATTCTGTCTGAGTCAGAAGCATCTGTAATACTTTCAAAAGCTATGTTAAAGACAACCTTGTACCAGTCATCCACTGGGTGAAGGATATGATTTATAAGGAATTATTCTTATTTATTATTAATTTGGTTGGCTTTTACCAACATTTTTTGGCAATGCCAGAATTTTTGCTCCTGCAACTCATGAATCAACAGCTTAAGCTCTTTCCTGTGCTATGGATGTGCAGTGTTCCACCAAACAAACCTCAGCTAATCCCTAGGCCATTAGGTCTCACAAAGTTCCTTGGCATACTATGGAGGAATTTCACTCACTAAACCCTGTATAAAGATGCATCGTTCTGTTCATCCTGTCACTGGTTAGCTCTGGTTGAGCTCTGAACTCTTCCAGTTTGGACACAAATCCCAGCACATATCTTTACTGAACAGTGCCTGTAATGACTGGACCATTCTTTAGAATATGTGATGATAAATAAGCCTTTGTCTAATAAACTATGGAGATGCAGAGAGAGGGAGGAATATCCTGGATAGAAAATTATCATGTTATAGCCAGCCTAGAAAACCAGATGAAATTCCATCTTGTCTTTTACACAGCAGTGTCTGTGAACACTGCCAAGCAATTCCTTTTGAATTTAATACAAGTAGAACTACAAGATCTGCCTAGTGTTATCTACTCTGTTAATGAGGTTGGTTTATACACAAATGGACCCTACATCATGAGTATTTCAAGATTACTTAAAGTGAATTTAAAGGATTAACCAGGTGACAGATTAACACAATGTTTTTTTTCTAACGGATTAATTAGACAAACCTAGATACTTCTTTCTTTCTAGGAAAGATGTTTGGATTTAGACATTCATTGTCATCTGCAGCTGGAAGAAATTATAGCCAGTGAACTGGCTCAGGCAAGCTCACACTACAATGTGCAGTACTGTATGCACAAATTTTTCTAGGCCAAGATTTAAGTCTTATGGATCACTTTAGGTCAACTGCTCAAGATCTTCTCTTCATCTGTTTTTGACTTCAGAGACCTTTGGGCAGCAAGTCCAATCAGTCAAGCCTCCAGTTCTCTACTGATTGCTGGTTTTATTGTGTACTGATGAAATGAAAGTTCAGATTTTGCAGATAATACCTTCAGCAGATAACTTTTTCCTATGGCTTTGGTAGGCAACTTGCCAAGCTTGTTCCATCAACAGACTGTATGATTCACTGGCCTATTTTTAAAAACAAATCCCAGGGAACACAAGCTTTAATTTTCATTTCCTTTCAGCTCCTCCAACATGGATTCTAAAACAATATGATTTTCCCTAGACCTTCTCATAGTCTTCCAAAATTGATTTACTTCAAAGCTTAGTACTGGTCTGATATATTTTTCAGATGGTTCAGACTCAGAATTTAGCCCCAAAATTACCAGATCTCAGCTTTTCATGTTCTTCCTGATTAGCCCAGTATGGCATCTGCAATAAGGGAGTCCCCTTGTTGTTTCAGCTCCTGGTCAGCCCGTATGGTGACACAGCTGATACTCTGTTTATTTCCCATAACACCCTGCTTTCCTAATGGAGAAGAGAAGAGAACAGGAAGATTTTTGCAACTACATTCAGTTCCCTGGTTAATTCTGATACCTTTGGTCAGCTTATAGATAGACATAATCTCCATAGATTTTTTTTCTGTTGTTCAGCTTTTTTGCCTTTTTGTACTCATTACTTTGAATTTCGGCAAGCAATAGAAGATGAGCACGGTAAACTCTACTGTCAGGTAGAAGCATTCTTTCTGTTCATGCTTTTTTGTCTTGAATAGTTTCACATCCTTTGTCACTTCTATTTCTTCCAGTAAGGCTTGTTTTCTCTCTTTGTCTTTGTCTTTGTCTTTGTCTTTGTCTTTGTCTTTGTCTTTCTCTTTGTCTTTCTCTTTCTCTTTCTCTTTCTCTTTCTCTTTCTCTTTTTCTCTTTTTCTCTCTTTTTCTCTGTCTCTCTTTGTCTCTCTTTTTTTCTCTTTCTTTCTTCTTCTCTTCCTTTTTTTTTTTTTCCTTTTTTCTTTTTTTTTTTTTTTTAAATGAGAAAAACACTAACAGGCAGAAAGAGCCAGACAAGAAATGCTGGAAGAAAGATTAAAAAACAAAACAAATCTTGTAAACAGTTTAGTTTCTGGGTGGGATTTTTTTGTTTGTTCATTTACATTAAAAAATTATGTTCTGGGCTTCATGACACAATAGGATATGGATAGGAAAGGGAGAAAAAAACAATTTCTGATTTTTTAATACAGTTTTATGCTTTACAGCAAATGAAATGTCATTTATGGAAGCTGAGAATGCAACACAGATTGTGAATATAGAACTTCAAAAAGATTGCCATTGGCTCTTTTTAAAAGCAGTGTTTTTCAGTTTTCTTAGCTTTGTAGACCACCAACCATGTTTCCCATGGAAATGAAGATTATGTGTTCTGTTAACCATAGAACTGATTGTTTTGCTAGCTGTTCTCACAGACCTTCCATAGTAATACAGATTGCCCAGAGATAACACTGATTAGCACAAGGTAAAAACCAAGTGCAAGTGTTACATTCTTCTAACCTTTCCTGCAGATACATGCAAAACAAAATGTATATGGTCACATCACTAGGAAGGTATTTAGCTAGTTCTAGGCAACCGTGATGGTGAAAAAATCAGAAGGAAAAATAGCTGAGAATAGCTAATGAAAACTCTGACATTAAATGGCTAAGGGCCAAATTTCAACACCCTCATCTCTAGCAAGGACCTACTTGTTCCTTCTCCCGAGTGTTCACATTCCAGTGAAGTTCAGACTGAAAGCTAAAACTGACAGCGAGGCTTTCCAGTGCTGATCTAAATAATACATTTGACACTCTGACAAACTGAAATGAAGTTGGGCAGCATGTGGGGCGTTCTGAACTAGATGCACTGAGAAACAGAATTGCCGAGAGTGGGTCATGTTCACAGTTCACATACTTCTGTCTTCAACAGCATGAGGTACCAGAGATTTTAGAGTGGGGAATAAGAAATTCTGCAGGAAAGAGAGGCTTACACAGCAATCAAGCCTCCAGGTAGAGCAAGGTGCTGTTAGGCAAGTGCATGGTTGGGAGTTGTCCCTTAACAAATTCCTGTTTATCATCTTTTACACATGCAAATGAGAGAGAATCCAAGGATGAGGAAATTAACTAGGGATTGAAAATGCAGGCTCTATCTCCTGCTTGATCATAGGGACCATGTGTGATCTAAGACACATCACAGACATATGGGACATAGAAGATAAATGTGTGCAAATGTGTTAGAAATTTAAGCTGGAGTGAGCAGGATTTCTGTGCCTCATATCATTATTGTATGACTAAACGTAGGATGAGCAGTCTGGTAGTTTTATGTTACAGTAGTTGGACCCATAAAAGCATTGGAACATTTAGATATTGAAAAGTCAGTATGTTCCTACAATCCTTAGGTGGAGGAAGATAGTGCAGCAGAGTATTAAGGCCTGCTGAAACTTCTTATCCGAAGTGAGTGTGTCATGCAATTAACTGTGGAATTCTGTCTCACTTTCCCTTGCAGAAACAACAGGTTTCCAGCTGATACCAGCAGCAGGACTGTTGTCTGCTCGTGACTTCCTTGCCAGCCTCGCATTTCGTGTCTTTCAGTGCACACAGTATATAAGGCATTTCTCTTCACCTACACATTCACCAGAACCGTAAGTATGATAACCTGGCACAATTCCATCCATCTGAATGGAAATGATTCCCTTGGGAATAATTCTGGAGCTCTATCCAGTAGTCCACAGAATTAAATAGTTTGAGAAAGTGGTAGCTGAAGATTTAGAAGGGGAAGTCAAGCATGCAAGGGTGTGGGTCTCTTTCTCTTTTGCAAAGTTGTCTGAAAAAGGAAAAGACTGGAGAATATCTGGTTTAATCTTTTCATCCTGCCTTCTTTTGCCATCTGCTGAGGTTTGATTCCCTGCTGTGAAATTCTCCCAGTAACTGCTGGCCAGACAACAGCAATTACATTTCATGAGAAATTACAAGTTCACAGACGTTTTTGTTGTACGCTGGGACAAAACAGGGTCTTTTCAAAGATGTTGTGACATAGGGCACTATTGCCCATGCCATCTCAAGTGAGACAATAGCCAGTGTAGCGGGAGGCAGCTGGCACCCCGGAGTAGAAGGCGGTGCTTTGCCATATTCTCTGCAAAGCCAGACCAGGTATGGAAGCGCCTACTGCGGATTAATTAAAACAGTTAAAATTCTTGCACTAGCTCCCTATGGCAGTCTTAGATCACACATGGTCCCAATGATCAAGCAGAGAATAGAGCCTGCATTTTCAATCCCTAGCTTGTTTCCTCATCCTTGGATTCTCTCTCATTTGCTGTACAGCATGGGTTGTCCCTTAACAAATGTCCCTTAACAAATCTTTTACACACATGTGTGCAAAAGATGATAAACAGGAATTTGTTAAGGGACAACTCCCAACCTTGCTCTTGCCTAAGAGTACCTTGTTCTACTTGGAGGCTTGGTTGCTGTGTAAGCCTCTCCTGCAGTAAAGTCTTCACAAGATTCAGTCTTCACACAGAGCAGGAAAACAACAACAATAACAACAACAACCAATCTTCCCTTTATTAAATGTGAAGGTCACTTGTTTTCCAGAGATTGCTGCCATGAACTGCTGGGTCATGTTCCCATGCTAGCCAACAAGGAGTTTGCCCAGTTCTCCCAGGTAAGAAGCTTGTTCTGCTGGCTGTTTAACCAACTGCTCTGCAAGGCAGGCCAGACATGCCTTTGAGGCATGCAGCTTACCCTGCTTGAAATGCTATTTAAAAATTTGGTTGTGTCTGACTCAACCTCCAGCAGTAGTGGGCTAGCAGTGCTGTAGGAGATACATACTCCAAGGGAGTGGTAGCACCACTTGTAAAAGGAAGGACAAGCAATGTTGTGGGATTTCTCTGTGGGAGGGCTGTGTCAGCCTACAGCAGGATGCTAGTTGAGCCCTTGTGGTGCTGCTTGTTTGAGCTGTGTGGGCTGCACTATTCCCCTGGCTTCCTGTCTCACGCCAAATAAACCCAGCCACCAAAGCCATTGAGCCCCTAGGCTGACTCTGTCTCCAAATGTACATTTTTATCTCACATGATACTTTAATTTTGTCCATCACCATGTCATTCATTTGAGATGTTTTTCTTTTTACAACTCAGTAGATTCTCACAGCATTGCTCATGCTGGTGAAGAGGCTCCAAAAAGCAAACAGAGCTTCTTTGTACAATAAGAATCTATTTAGAATGAGCAGTCAATGTCAGACTCAAGTGAACTCAATGACCTAGTATAATTAAAGGCCTCAGAATCATAGCAGGGGGAAGAAGATAATTCATATTCTAGGCTTATCTGTTAGCGGCCACTGTGAAAACTGGCAGTAAGTGCAGAAGGTTAAATTATGCATGTCCCTGTATGAATATCTGAAAAAGAAGGCCAGTTCACCTTACAGATCATGGTCTTCAATTGTATCAGTGTGGATACATGCCAATTTCCATTTTGGTCTAAGTATTGTTTATTACCAGATTCAGTGTAATGGTTCTTAAAATATCCTAAGGTCTGTAGTTCTTTCAGGAAGAGCTCTTCAATTCAGTTCAATGCTAGAACTGAAGACACCATAAAAATAAGACAGCACTTACAAAACTTTCAGCTTTACCCTTTCCCCGCCTATAATATTGATTATGCAACATGGGATAACATTAAACAAATTTTCACATTTTTCATTTCACATTTTCACAAAGCATCTTCACAGATGGCGTTCACCCCATGAATCTATTTATTTATTTTTATTACATTCAATATAAAAAGATGAATGAAGGATAATAAACAGTTTGGTTTATTTGATGTGTTATACATTTCCCAAGAGAGACAAAAGGAGACACCTACAGATTTTTATCATGGAAATAGTAATTAAAAGGCAGCATAGTTGTGACTAAACAGCATTGCACCTGCATGGATCTGACACATTCGTAAGGGCTTTCAAAAAGAGAATGAGAGACAGAAAGGTAATGGCAGAGATAAAATTCACCTTGCAGTCCTCACATATCATGCCTTCCTATAAATCTGTGCCTTGGGATACAGCATTAAGCTGAGAGACAGTTAACTTTACACAGAGAACTCTGAGGATTAAACACTCATCTAATGTCGCTCCCAGTGGTATGTAGCTGGGGGCCAGGGAGAGGTAGGCATCCTGGATCCATGGAAGGTCATTTTGGGTGACAAAAACAATGGATAGTTCACTCTATTCATGCTAGAAACTATGTGGTCCTCCCCCTTCCCCTCTTTCTCTCCCTTGGGCTGAATAATCACGCTAGTGTAACACTGCCTGCTTGCCTACTTGCTTTAGGATATTGGACTGGCTTCTCTTGGATCATCTGAAGCAGAGATTGAGAAACTGTCCACAGTAAGTACAGGCAGCAGTTTAATATCACAGGCGAAACCAAAAGGCTTGCTGCATATCCCTCACTATTCAGGAAAGACTCTTCTCTAATGTCACAGTTTAAGCATGCAAAAATGAGAGCATCAGCAGAACTGTCTTTTCTCCACACCAACAGGTTAGGGAGGTGCTGGAACAGAAGCTGGAGCTCCTCTGGAGGAGCCCAGAAGCATGTGATTCCACTTTGAGGAAATGCTTACGCTTCTTGCTGCTGTAAGAATGTACTCCTGAATCTCAGTCTCTACAGTTCCAGTCATAGGAGGGTCCCAATTCATTTTACAGATTCACCTTGTAGATTGGATACTCAATATGATTCCTGCAATTTCTCCTAAACATAGAGGCTCAGGGCACCATCAGAATTCAGGGCACCCGATATTCATTACTCTCACAAAATTTGTGAGCAATCTGAAAGCAGATATTGACACTTGGTCCTGAATCACTAGTCTTTAAACATCTGTGAAAACAACTTATGCAACCCCTAGCTGCCATCTTAACTTGGTCCGAAAGTGGGCTGGAGGACAGACGATTTTTTTCTGATATGGCAGATATTTCCCATTCTTGATTATATTATCAGTTTTATCCTCACCCACCAGGATGAGAATCTGCAGGAAATGGGGTAGACGAGAGGAGATGGCCACACCTGAAATTCCTCAACCAGTGCACAGGTCCACTCCTGCCGAAGTGGAATGAGGCACGGTTTGAATGAGATTATGACTCACCTAAAATCTATTTGTAGGCAGATGTATGTTACTCCTTTCTTAGACTGGAGAGGATGTAATAAGATTAAGATTCATCTTTTGATTAGACCTAAGAATGATGTGTGCCAGGAAGATATTTTGTGGCATTTCCCAGGTCTTGGTGAGATTGGGTGAAGGCCAGTGTCTTACACAGCATTCCTCTGCAAGTGTCCCTCTCTGGCTCTGGAAAGGATATGGTTATGTTAGCAGATATGTCGTAGATCTAAAATTTTTACAATATCATTTGGGGTTTTGGGAGATAGAATGATAGGACTTTTTTGAAAAAGCTTCCTGCTGTTAAGGATTTGTGAGAATACTACTTATTAAGGGCCATTCAGATATCCTGAATAGTAAACATACTCTGGATTAGTCTCTCAAACTTCAAATTTTTTAAAAGTTAGACATCTAGCCTAGACTTATTTTTTAAGTTTCTTCACCAGAAAATGAACCTGAAAGAGAAACCAGAAAGAGAAGAATGTTTAATGTATTTCCTATCCTGACAGAGATGTCTACCATAAATTCTTGTTTCCCTCTGGAAGTCCCCATCACACTCCATTGATTGTAGTAATGCAAATAGCCTCAGTGTTAAAACAATATCTCAGCTTTCTAAAAGTTTATTAGAAGCCACAAAGCTATATTTTTTGAATGTCTTATATTTTCTATGTTTCACACAACATCTACCTAGTATCTCAGGGGTCAGGCTGTGTCCAGAATTGTTCCTTCAACATCCATTTCCTCATACAGCAAAATAAGGGAAGGGATGACAGGTTGGCAGAACCACAAGTAGTTTTTATCACACCACTGTCCAGCATGTAAAATAAGTATGATCCTAATCATACTTTATTGTAAGAAAATCCCAGAGAGATGCACCTTTATTTTCTATTGCAGTGAGATAAATTTAAAATTGGTATTATCTTATTGGGTACATTGCTGCTAAAGAATAAGTCATTCTTCAGTTCTTTTTAATGATATCATACAGATCTAAGAGAAGGAAAACTGCCCTGTCAAGGACTTTTCTGATTGTCTTGAACTCTCTGTGGGTGTTTAGCCATCCTTCTGGGTACTATCACAGTTTGTTAGTTTTCACTGACTATAATCCAACTCAATTTTATTTATTAAAATCTATTTAAGAATAGCTATCAGGTTTTGTCCTTTTTAAGGAGTGAGAATAGGAAGGATGCCTGCTGAGACTACGATTTTCAGAAATTGTTCTCATTATCAGCTTTATTGGTTTACTGTGGAGTTTGGACTCTGCAAGCAAAATGGATCCATCAAAGCTTACGGGGCAGGACTGCTTTCATCTTATGGGGAACTTACGGTATGTGTCATCTATGTGGTATCAAAAGATTTCTACAATATAGTTTTCTAAACTCACTGGTAAAAGCAAGGTATTTCCTCACATAAGACAATATTCTTTAAGATACTGATTTTTCTTTTGTGAAGAAATTCATTCTTCCTCACAAGAAGCTGAGGAGTAGAGGACAAACTACTGTCAGATTGTACAAGTTTTCAACCCTGAGAGATGAAATATGATGAAACTATACAACCTACAAAATGTCAGATTTGCTTCTTATTATTTCTGTCCAGTAGTGATGCAACTGATTTGAACGTAAAACTCCTGTACTTTTCTTGACTATACACTAGAGGGCAATATTATGCCTATTATGAACTCAGCTGCACACTTGACCTTCATGCACGTATAAATCTGAAAGGCATTGACTGATGTGACCAAACAAAGTGACAAAAAAACTGTAAATAAGAAAAAACTGCAAATAGAAAGTGTTTTAGAAGTGTTACATTCATAAAAGTATTTCAGAACTACTTCTATCTTAAATTTTACGCAGACTAAACTTCGTGTACGCAGGCTGGATACAGCTCTTCCTCAAGGAAAGAGAGACTGTATACCTACACAGAAAGCTTATTGGTTTCATCTCCTTTAGACAAACAGTTGGTAGTGGAGATATTCTCTTCTCCTCAGTTTCGCAGTACACTGAAGCAGATGATCTAAGTGCAAAAATTCTGGTGTCAGTAGTTCTCAAGTAGTTCTCAGGGCCTCAAGTTATGAAGATAGTGGGTGATTTTTGGCATTAGCAAGGACAAGAAGGGTTTTCAAAAGGGAAGAAGGGGGACAAAGTACTCTTTTAAGACTCTTTATAAACTAGAAATGAAAGTTTTCATGGGAGATACATAAAAGCAGACTATAGATAAATAAATTATAGTTTTAAATCAAATACAATTGTTAAACAGGATGATAAATGCCTCCAGTACTTACGTAGCTTTTGTGGTAATATGCACCATAAAACCTATATGCACAATATTACCTTCCTTTCTGTTTTCTTTTGATACAGTTGACCATAAAAGTCATGCCAGAAACACCTGTCTTTGGTGTCTGGAATTGCATGTACCAGAGTTGTACTTTTCTTCCTCACCAGATACCAGCCAAAGTACCCTTCTCTTCACTAGACCCCAACCAACAAACTGTTCTTTTTTGTATTTAAGTAGTAGGCAAGCACTGCGTGTTCACAAAACTGCTCCATGTAACACAAAAGTATAACAGCATCTCAGATTCCCTAACTGTAAGGCCAACTACAGAAGTGGTAACCATCCTTGATTAATAGGTGCTTGTTGTCATTACTTTGATTATCAGTACTTGAATGGTAACGTCATTGGAAAAGCTTTTGATATAATTGGGCTCATTTGGGTCTTCATCCATCTTACTTCTGAAATTACCTATATATGTGATGGCATTTGTGCTTAATAGGTAATGAAGAAGTATTCACTCAGAACCCCTTTCCTGCTTACTTTTTACATAATAACCAAAAAGTATGAAAATTGGTAAGCAATTGATAAGTAACGATGTTATGCTGACCCCATGTGAGCTCTGGAGATTTGTTTCTATGTAACTTTTTGGGACAGCAGATTAGTGGTTTCTGTGCGCTTCACTTGAGCATCTGAAACTTTTGGTACACTAATTATATCTATGGCCTTAAGCACTGAAGCTTCCTTTTAGGGCAAACTGATTCATTTCATGGATTATTATTCGGAACAATATCGAATACATTCTTTTTCACCTAAACAGGAGAAGTATGTGTAATGCAATGCCTATTTCAGTAGAAATGCCTTTTTTTTTCCTTTTTTTTTTTTTTTTCCTTTTTTTTCTTTTTAAGAAATACAGTGCTGGCCAGACTGTTTTGAGTTTTATTAGAAAAGATGAAGTAAAAAATGTTCCCTGCACACAGACCAGAAAGTAGTGAAGCTCATGGTGGCATTCAGTTTCTTAAAGAGCTCATTTTGCACCTTTAGGATAGCTCTTGAAAAATCTCTAGATAAGTTTCACTCTTGCCTGGGAGAAAGCCATTGTCCATCCTGATAGTAATTTGCTATCCTTCTCAATACCACCCACTGATACTCTCAGTATAAATGATATGCCACAGGCTTACCATTGGAATCCCCAGACTCAGTATCATCTTGAAGCCCAGCATAAGTGGAACGGGTAGACTCTCTGCTACTTGTATGACCAGGGAGGCATACTGCTCTAATCTGGGTGAAGAAGAGATTTTTTCAGCAGTGAAGGCTCCTGGACCACTTAAAGCAGGGTGGTTTGGTCTCTGAGGACACAATAAAGACATGAGTTATTAAGGCCAAATTGTTGGCTGCAAGAAGTTAACAACTAACCAGCTGGAAAGGGCGAGTACTGTTGCATCTAGCTAATTTTATGTGAGAATTCAGCATCAGCAAGGCGTCTACAAACATCTCTGAACTGCAGGCTGGATTGACTCTTTGTGTGAGTATGACTGCAACCCAAGGAATCGTGTCCTGACTATGAATTCTTCAAAATGTTTTCCTTTTCTCTGTAACACCCACTCTTACCAGTAGGAAGTCTATTTCAAGCATTTTCTATGTATGAGCTGATGTTGCCCAAACAATAACTTGGAGAAAGGCAGGTGATGAAAGGTAGAGGTGAAATGACACCTGCCTGGTACTTGTTCTTGAATACATGTTATCTAACAAATCATTTAATGACAGCAGCTAGGTATCAGAAAGAACAGGAAAATCATACCCAAGTCTAAACTGAACAGTTGTAATGGGTCTGACTGCTGGCCAAACTTGCCTCTTCTGAACTGTAAGAATTCCTCCCCAATAGCTCTCAGTATTGCACTGTTTATTTCACTATACTCTGTCAGCTGTTCTGCATTATCCAAAATGCTTCTCCTGTTAACACTCAGCTGGACTCTGTCCTACATACTGTAAAATCTTATGGCTCATACCACACTTCTGGCAGCACTCAGTGCTACATATCCTTTTCTTGCAGCACAACAAGTACTTAACTTGTAGAGGCCTTTCAGGCCATCCGGTTTCAAGCAGAACATCCACTAAAATCAATGGGATTTCAGCTCTGCTTCAATTCTGACAGCATAGCGGGACCCCTGTGAGGTTTTGAGTTTCTAAAATCTTTTCCCATTAGTCCCCTGGGTTTCTAAGATTATAAGAACAGCCTTATGTTTGTGTATATCATCCATCTTAGACTGTATGAGTGCTCTCCAAGGTTTATTCTTCAATTACACGCTGCAAATGAAGAACAGGAAAAGTGCCATCTTTTAGTGTTTTATATTCTTGATCTTTTTTTTTTTTTTTAAAGTGTATAAGAATTTCTGCACCAGTTCTGCAGCAAATTGGCCTACTGGTTGAGGCAGGCCTCCAATGGTGGAGAGTTCAGGCTCAGTTCAGTGCAATATGCAAAAATGTGCTTAAGGGGACTGTCTGAATAGTCTTGAAAAGCATCACCCAGTCTTACCAGCTCTTTACAAGTACCATGGGAGCTGGCATTTGCATTATGAAATAGTGAAAGGAGCCTTCTGAAGACTGGAGAAGCATAGAAGAAGACAAGCAGGCAACCAGCAAAAATGGATTGCTACAAAAAGACTGTCCCTAATCAGATGGGAGCCCTCTGTTCAGGCTGAAGATGTGAAGAAAGTTCTTGCTTTTGACCAGAGTTGACTTTTTTTTGGCAATATCAGGAACAGTTCACTCAAGTGCACACTGCACTCACTATCCTGCTCCCTGGAGGCTAATCCAGATTCAGACACATCTGTGGTGTAGTCCAAATGACACTGGAACTGAGCTGGTTTTAAGCTTGCCTTGGGTTCAGAAGAACCTGAGCAGAACTTTTAGAATAAACTCTGTGCTCCAAATACACAGACGGAGAGCAGTGTACATTTATGTCTTGAGTGTTGGGAAAACTTGAAGAGTGCTTAACTGGCATGGGAGCTGTGCTGAAAATGCCAAGAGCATCCCACTTATTCTTCAGTGCAGTAGGAAATGTGGACTTTGTAACATGGTCTGAGGAACTCAAAACAGTGCTGTGCAGTACCATGATTCTTCTGTGATATTGGTTTAAAACATGATACTGAGACAATTTATTTTTGTTAGAGACTAATATTCTGGGGCATCTGGGGCATAGCATAGAGTTCCTCCTTCCTGTTTGAGAATGTGGCTATGGTACCAAATCATTACAATGCTGTAATAGGGGAAATATCTCTCTCTTTCATTCTGTTCAAATAGAACAAACCAGAACTTTTTATTGTTATTAACTGCTATTTACGAGAAACAGCTTTCTCATTTCTTGGTGAAAGAACAGGAATTGATACTACCTTTAACTATTGCACAATGAGTATTTCACAGCTCAGTAGGCAGTAATTCTTGCTGTGTACAATCATCTATTCTAACCTTTGTTATTTCTGTTATAAGTATGCTTTATCAAACGAGCCAGAGTACAAGTCCTTTGATCCAGAAGTGACTGCAGTTCACCCCTATCAGGATCAAGCCTTCCAGCCTGTCTATTTCATAGCAGAAAATTTTGAAGATGCCAAGGCCAAACTGCAGTAAGTAATTTCATTGAAGGGGACACGCTAGCTTAAATCCTAATCATAAATACAGCTACCACTGCTGTAATAACTGTGCTAGGCTATCTTATTGCTTGTTTCTGCACAGTGGTCTTCTTAGAGTGAAGATATATATGACAATGTTTAACTGAGAAAAGCTTCATAGGAAATCATAGCTATGTATTCCTATGCCCTTAACTATCCTTCATCTTACAGTGCCTCATCTTAGCCGCTTCTGAAGGATGCCTCAGTATTATTCCAGACAAATGGGAAATTTTGAAGAACTGACTTACCCAAGGTCACATGGAAAATTTATAGTAGGATCAGGAATTAACATGGATCAGTGGGGGGCTTAAAAACAAGATTGCCCTTCTCTTCTGATTATATCTGCACAAGAATGCAGACACAGCATTCACAGGCAATCTAATTTCTACCAAGTAGCTGACTGCAACCTAAATAATATTATTTCACATTAGCTTAAGGTGTTTCTAAATGCAATTCTGTGACTGTGTTATGTAATAAGGGCTTTTGTTTTTTGCCTTTTTTGTTTTTTTTTAGGAAGCAGAGTTTAAATTCTGGGCCTCCATCTCCAACAGTTAGAACAACAAGACCAATTCTGGCTGGAGGCAGGAGGCTGGTTGTGGAGCTACTGGGAAGCATGCAGGAGTTGAAATAAGGAATTTATTAGGGGAGGATATCTCGGGCCAGACTTCTTCCCAGCTCCCCCCACCTCCTGCCCTGAAGCGTTGTCTGCTGGGGTTATAGCAATAACAAATTAGGCTCCTCATCTTAAATCTGAGGGTTCAGATTTAGTTATTGTCTTGGCACTGTAAAAACCCAGCTGAGAACTCACTGGCAGAAGAGAGACTTTCAAGAGCTTTTGACTCAGGCAGACCTGAAAAGAACTTAAAAGGACAAAGAATACACCATAGTCAGACTTAAAGCTTTTTCATATGTTTTTTCAAGATAGTTGCTCAGCCAAAGCTCAAAATAACAGAAGACTCAAGAATCTGTCAGAACGGAAAACATAAGGCAACATCAGTACAGGGGGTTCCTATCAGCCTGTACTTAATGGAAACATTGTCAAAAATGGCAAGCAATCGTGGGTGTAGTTGGGTTTTGTATTTTTTTTTTCTTTCCATGCAGATGGCAAAATAGCCCAGGATGCCTAGTATGGATAGATTTTTAAGATTTTAAGCAGTAAGAGCTACTTCAGGTTATTTCTTGGAAGTGAAGGCAACAGACATGCTGTGTTTCTGCATTCCTGTAGCTTGTGGTTGTAATAACTCTGAGCTGTGTTAACATAGAGCTGTAAGAGCGCAGAAGGATCTGAGCCAGCCACACTGAAAAAGCAGGCAATGCAGATCTTTTGGGCTGCAAAACACTTCAGCTGCAGGGAGAATATACTGCACCAGAAAACTCTAAGGAGTGACAGTAAGGAAGATGTCACAGCAACCACAGTCAGCCTTAGAAATCTATGCCTACATACTGATAAACTAGGTCCTGCATGTAGTGAAATAGTTTTTGAACTAGCAAATCTGTCTTCTTTCCTCACAGAAACTATGCAATGAAGATCAAGAAGCCTTTTTCTCTGTGCTACGACCCATTCACCAGCAGTATAGAGGTTCTGGATACACCACAGAAAGTCAAGAGGGAAGTCAGTCGACTGAAAGAGGACCTGAAAAACCTCTGCCTGTCCCTTGAAAACCTCTCCTAAAACTGCAGCAGTACTTCTCGCCTGGCACTGATACATATGTAGGCAGTTCCAGCATTTGAAAATTTAGTGAAGTTGTAGCTGCATGCTAAAATCTTCATCCCACAAACAGCTCTGTCAAGCAAATCTTTTCACTGTAATTCAGGCTGCTGACTTAGCCACATTAATGAGTTCCTATTGAATATGCTTCAGTGGCAAACAACACCAAATTACTCCAATTTCTGGTAGGTGATATGAACTGCAGCTGTTGGTTGTGTATTTATCTCTTATTTTAAACGTAACTTTTTAATTCACCTTTTGAAGTTATTTGCCACGTTCTGAAGTTATCTACCGTGAAGTAGCACAGTAACTCTTCAGTCACGAAGTCTCGCTTAAATGACATGATCACAATCTTTTGGGCTGGCTACCTGGCTGCAGTCCTTGCAGCTAACTCATTTCTGCTAGTAATTACGATCAGCTATTGTGCTAATAAACTATGAATGGTTCTCTTACAATGTACAAATACAAGAGTTTATAAGACAGACCTTTTATTTCTTCTTGGCATTTATTTTTTCAGCAGTCATCTTACTTAGTTCAAATGTGGCTAAATAATTTTCTGTCATATTTAACATCACAAAATATGTGTCCATTGACTAAAAAAAGATAGAAAAGATAGAAACTATGAGGACTGTGATACTCTCTCTGGCTCTATAACATACTTGTTTGATTTGAAAAAGAAATTAAGATTCCAGGGAATAAAAAGATGGATGTGGAGAAAAACCTTCAAAGAAGCCTACAAGAAAAAATGTCTCACTAATTTTTCATGGGATTCAAACAGTCCTGGACACCTTAAAACATCTTTGTGGGGTTTTCTTTGTTGTTGTTGTTTTTTGTTTGTTTGTTTGTTTTTGGCATTACGATGATTGCAGTAATAATCAAAATTTCAAAGGTGCTAAACATCAATACATTCTAAGATCAAATACCAGAAGCAATATAGCTTTTATATGGATACAACTTCAGGTATGTGCTGCAACTCATCTTGCCTCCCACTCTGATCTCTTTCTCAGATGTGCCTGAAATTTATTTACACTCTGTGGGTCACATTTCACAGAAACAATCCTTTAATTGTCCTTTCATTTCCATCTTCCACTGTTCACAAATAGCAACTAATTTAGGAAAAGAAGAGTAGGCTCATGCCTGGGAAGATTCCCTCTTTGCTTAGCACTAATGTCGAAACAGGTTACAGGTGATGGCATAAACAGGAGCTATATGGATCTCATGACTGAACCTGGGTGACAGTATTCCATAGACATCAATGTAGATTTATCCTGTGCAGCTAAGAAACTTTGCTTGTATTTTCAAAAGTGTATTTAAATTAAGGGAGATAGCAAACTTACAGTTTGCTCATTGCTATCCACTAACTGACAGCATACATGACCTGAACTCTGATGTAAATGTGAGGTGGTTTGGCTCTTGGAAAAGGAGTCATCAACTCTGCCTTAACTGGTCACCATGGAATAAAAGCATGTACACAGAAAGTTACAGCAGAGCAATTCACATGCTGTTATTTCATACAGAGCTTATCTCACCGTAATTTGTCAATGTGCCAGGCTCTACAGAAACTCTCTTGTTGGGACTGGGTTAATGGGATTTTGTCACTTAAATCTTCATGTCCATAAGCACTTAAGAAAATTCTTTCATGGACACTTGCAGAGAATTCAAGATCTGTGAGGATGCTGCAGTGGCTCCATTTTCTTAAAATGTGGCGATACCTAACAAATTTGGAAATGTCTTGGCAAAATGGCTATGGTCTCCTTCGTCTAAACAGCAGGAACATTTCAAGTTCTTTCTTTTTCACTGAAGCCCAGGATTTTTCTATTCTACTTCAGAAAAATATTTTTGTATTGTAAAGCCTATTTTGCTAGAGATTCAGACAGGGACTGCTGAAGTGGTTTCCTTTACTTTTGGTATATTTCTGCTGTGATGTATGATGATCTCTCAACATTCTTTTATGGATTTAATTCTACTTATCTTGCTTTTACACACTTACAAATACTGTTTTTCTTTAGAGCAATGTTTGGTTACATATTGTAATAATTTATCTGTGTATTTGCTGCCAAATGGTACATAGGCAAAAATGCTTGATAGCTGACAACAGATTGTTTTTAGAAATATTATTTTCATCAACCAGTTACATTACATTTCAAATTGAAACGTGCACCACCTTTGCGTGTTTTCTTTTTTCTTTCTTTTTAAGTGGAAGATAATGCCAGAGCAAAAGAGCTAACAAAATATTTTCTATAGATGGATTCTGTAGACCATAGGGTCTTTTTCATGTATTCCCTCTGAAACGGTTGAATGTGGATTTTATACTTGAGTTTGGCTATTGTTCAGAACAGACCTATATTTGGAAGAAATGAGAGACCTGACGGATTTGTTTTGCCCAAGGCCTCACACTTTCCTTGGAGGAACTCCAGGCCCGCCCACACATCCTTGCCTTTTTCCAGTTCCTGTAGCAATGAGAGAAAAAGAAACCATTTGGAGCCAGATTCTCCAATCATTACACATGCTGAGTAGTACCTGATCTCTCAAATAATCCCAGCAACGGTACTGAGCCTATTAAAGTGCTGTATGCAGAAAGTCAGAGCAGGATTATCAAAATCTCTATGGGTGTACTTGCTTTTTTATTCTCTTAGTGATAGTCAGTCTGAATACATGGCTAGGGTAGGCTCCAGCACAGCTTAACAAAGTTTCAAAAGTAATGAATTTCACTACTTAAAATATTAAGAAACAAAAATATTTTTTCCAAAGGAGGCATCTTTCTTTCCTTACTAGGGCACACCTTACCCCTGGATAACCATACTTGATGCTTTTCTATAATTCGGTTCAAATTCTTCTCTTCTTATTCAGTGTAGTGACAAAACAAAAGCCTTCAGGGTTATATCCTTATGAGATATGCTGGTCAGGTTGCTCTTCCAACAGCCTTTTTTTCATTTTCTCAAAGAAGCCAAGAAGTACCTCATACTCTTGTCAGTCTAAGATGGAGGTGATGTGAGAGGTACTGACGAGGCTTCCCAATGAAAATAATGGCAGAGGAAAAAGCACCAACCAGTAAAAATATGTCTTTTTGTCAGTTTGCATTTCAGCAGTTTAACATTAGTCTTGCACAAGAAGGCTCCAAAGCCAAGTAAAACACATCCTGTGACTTGAAACTGAACTGATGAACTCCCCATGGGTCCTTTGCTTATCCCGATAAACTTATTTTTCCTAGATGGAGTGCATTTAGAACAAAATAGTGTATGTTATTAAATCTGTATTGTGTTGTTGAGTTATACATGGGAGAGTTAGTAAATTCAGTTTGTGGGTTTGTTCAGTTTTTTTGCCTAATCAAGTCTGACCTCTACCAATTTTGGTCCACTCTCAAGCCTCCAGCTGTTTCCCTGCTTCCCTGCAGATTTTCTAGGGATGCCAAGGGTACCACTGTGTAAGGAGAATACACAGTTATGCAATTTGGGGAATTTGGCAGGACAGGAAGAGGAAATTTAGGCAGGCCTCCCACCCACTCCCATGAGAAACAGTATTGTATTACAAGGCAGAACTGTCATCTTCCAAAAGACCTTCTCAATCATTTCCCTCTGGCTCCCTTAACATTTCAACTTTTCTACTACCTGATGAACATAAAACCATACTTAACCAATTAAGGAAATCACAGAATCAATCAAACTAACATACAGAAATCCTTCTCAGAAAGGAACCACTATATTTCACTCACTCTGCTGACTCATGAAGGAGGATTAAAATAAACAAACAAATAATTTTTAAAAAAGCAAAATTCCTCAGAAATGATAGTGTAATCCTGAAGAAACTTAAAATATGGTATTTTTCATTGTATAGCTACTCACATGAAGATTGTCTTACAGCAGTCACTGAAATGCCACAACTTACCCAGCAAATTGTGGCCATCAGTTAATCACAGACAGAAGTGTTCCATGACTGTTGGAGACAGAAAATAAAACTACTAAGAAAAAACCCCTTGTAGCCTTGCCTTACTGAAAAAACAGAAGGTTCTCTGGCATCTGCTTCAGTAGATATTCTACTGCATGGAAAAATTCCAACTGGCAAAGAAATAGAGGTTTGGGTATAGACATATATCTCTTGTAATGTCACCCCACCACTAAACAGAAGTTGATATGTGGGCTTTTAGATTTGCTTAGAGGACATTACTTTGCAGCATTCCCCAGCTGGTGCATGGTCAGAACATGGTAGAAAGGTTACTGTCTGTATTATATTATATATACATTAACTTTGGGAAATATTAGTGGCTAAGTCCCAAAGTGAAAGCAAATCTCTGGCAACCTCTCCCACCACAAGAATTCCTCAGGGGAAAGAAAGCCGAACTAGAAGATGAGTGTGGCTGACAACTGGGAGAGCAAAAGAACAGTAAATGGAAAGGACTGATGGATAAACCTAAAAATATGTTTATTTTGCAAGTGTTGTTTCATATATTGGAGGAAAAAAAACACCATTTAAAAGGGAGCCTTAGCATAAAGGAATAATGTTTGTATCTGCAAGAGTGTAGATAAGTTAAGGTCACCTAAGAATTTTCAACTGTGCTTGATGAGTGTTAGCCTTATCTAACATATTTGTTTTCAAGATGTGGTATAAAGGTCAGAAAATAGAAAAGAGGTCTTCGGTTTTTGGAAAAGAGGGTTTTACATGTTATGTGAGAAAGTAGAAACTGCCCAGGAAGTAATGTTGCCTTACAAGATTCAAGAACCCTAAATTTTGAATGAAGGCTACCTTAGGAAGGGAAAGAAAACATTGCAGTAGTGCCTCCTCTGCAGAAGACTGTAAATTCGTTATTGCTATAGTTTTATGCTAGGTACTGCTTTTCACCCTGCTTAACTATTTTGTCAGGACTTTTCTATCCTCCTTTATTCGAAATGCCGATTGCTAATCCCTTTGGCTTGTGCTTAAAAACGGGAAAAATTTTGTCACTGAACTTGATAAACTTTACTATTACTTTCTCAAAGTTTTGGATGATCCTTGAGCAAAAAAAATAGGCCCTCTTAAACTTAAACTTGGCCCTTGCTGAAGAAAATTGACTTAGCAAAATTTGGCTAAAAGATGTGATATTTATCATCTGATGTATGCAAAACAGATTTCTGCTACTATTCACAATTAGTATTGTTTATCTTCAAGGCATATCTTTCACAAAATTATTCAGGGCAGATTTGAACATAAACTACTAACTATAAAACATAGCACATAATGCCTGTCAGGTAAAGTAGATTGAAAAAAAAACCTGTAGTCTGGAAGGGCAAAAACAGAATTGGACAGTTTGAAATAATTTTCTAACAATTACAAGACCTACTTCTGCTATTACTGAAGCCCTGGATATGTTTTGACTTTGGTAAAGCCAGTTTGACTGATCCCAGTCATAAATTCTGAATCAATAGCAAAATTCCTATTGAATAGACTAATCATTAAAATGTGGAAATAAAAATAAAGGATCGATTTACAGTCATATTTCTGTGCTGCATTTATTACTCTCATATTTACTGACAGAGGGGGAAAAAACCAAGCAATTATCATTACTATTGAAATATTCCTTGAAGTGGTAGACTGGCACATTTAAATTTTCTGGCATAAACAGACAATTAAAGTAAGTCACAGAAGAAAAATATCTATTAACTTGTTAATTAACAAATACTGTATTTCAAGAATATCTCACAAGATAAAACAGACAATCATCATTATGTTTTGTGCAAGTGTTAGAACATTTTCAATAGAACTCATTAAAAAAAAAAAAAAAAGAAAAAAAAAAGACTGTTTTTAAGTATTTCCTGAATGAATCCCAAAACTGATGGGTTAGAAATGGAATGTGTGTTGGATGATGATATGAATTTTGTACAGTGTTTAAGTCTTGTACTTCAGACATTCCAGTTTTGTTCTTACTCTTGTATTAGTTCACATTTCTTGGTTTAAATCTAAGTAAACAAAATGATTTCACTCAAATCTCTAGTCTCTAGTGTCCTACAAAGGCAGGCTTTGCAACCAAATCCAAATTTTAGCTCCATATATGAAATACTGTGTTAGCTGTAGGGAGCTTGAGATGGAAGAAGTTTCCTAAATAAAACTTGTCCATTGTAACTTTTTTTCCAATTACCAGTCTTCATCCCTGGACAAGAAGCAAATCAACACAACCAGCATGGGCTTGATTTTAGACAGCTTAGTACCCATATTGGTACTAAGTTCATACACAGTTTGGTAATAATTTCACTCCATCACTGATGTAATAATAAGTTTATGGTGATATAGCTTGCTTGGGATGTGGGCAAATCATCCAAGCACATTTTCTTGTTATGTCATTACTTTCTGCAATGTTATTTTCCTTGCCTTAATGGAGTTCAAGAAAAACTTAAACAACAATAACAAAATCAAAGCAATGAACTGAACAGCAAAAAAAGAAGAAACAGCAGAAGAAAACTGACTTTCCTACTGCCTTGACATCTCTATTTGTACAGGAATCAGACTGAAAACATAAAGCAAAAAGACAGTTAAGTCTTTACACATAAAATTTCACAGTTCTTCATTCTTTACTACTTAAATCATGAAGATAGGCTGTAAGAAAATCTTTGTTTTCTTCAAGTTGTTCTTCACATTCCACTAATTTACTAAAGCCTCCAGGTGTTGGTCAAGAGATGAAGAAACTAAGAGCTATTAAAAGGACTGCTGGGCTCAGTATGGCTCCCTCTGATAGTTTAAATCCATATCACAAGATAAAACAAAACTACTACTCCACCATTTTCAGTAGAGCTACCTTAGGCTATTGCCAAACTGACTATCATAGCCTGAATAAATTGCATAACTTAAGAAATAAAAAGCAGGGAGACTCTTTTTTTTTTTTTTTTTTTTTTTTTTTTTTTTTTTTTTTTTTTTTTTTTTTTAATGTAAGTCCAGTTTAGAATCATAGAATTATTAAATTTGGAAAAGACCACAAAGTCCAACCACTGACTTTCACCACCATGCCCATTAAATCAGGTCCCATTCTTCCCCACTTGTAAAAGTGATAAAGAATGTAGTCCCATAGGTAGAACTAATAAAAACCAACAAGAACTGTTCTTCTCTGAATTCTTCTTTCATCATCACAGAATATATTGCAAGAAATTTATCTTCAGACATAAGCAGGTTCAGCCTTTGTCACATTACCAGACT